GGCGACCTGGAGTCACCTCGAATTGTCGTAGGCACGACCGGCAATGCGAAATCTGGGATTGGCAAGCTTGATCGTGAAACTTTCACACAAGGTGCTGTTGGCCAAGCCGAGCCCATTGCTCTATTCAAAACCGCACGTTTCATTGTAAAGTTTGGAGATACAGGCACCTTTATGTTTGTAAGCGTGATGCTATATGAAGAGTGGTCTTTGTTTAATGTCAAGTAGGTGGACCCTGGCAGAGCAAAAGATGCAGAAGGACCCCTTTGTGTAACTCAGCTACTTTGCATGATTGGAAGGGTCAACGTATGGTACGCTATACAATGTTCAGTAACAGCTCATCATTGAAAGCGAATACCCACTTTCTCCCTTCCACCATTGTTGCCCAAAATAATGCATGTGAACGATTGTCCTGCTCCAGCCCAGTATGACCATCATTAAACTTTCTTGATCCGAGCAGATTTGGATGAGTTACGCCCAAACAAAGAAATGACATCCAACACCAAAGAAATCTACTTGAACTCTACCTCTTCCACTCCCACTTCATTTTCTCTTCCTCCCATTCTCAACTGGTAACCCATTAAAGTACATACAACTACCACCTGCGAACGATTGTCCTGCTTCAACCCATCATGTCAATCCTCCCATTGTGTTGATCCGATTGTCTTTGACTGAATGGCAAGTCCCTGGCGTGTACGCCCCACTACAACACCCACAACACCCGCGTTTCTTGACACTTCACCTTCTTTTGTACAATCCTCGACCACAACCAAATGTAACAGTGCTCATTGTTGCAGCAGCTGCCATTGGCAAAGTCTTCACTCCATTGTCCCCAACAGCGTTCTTTACTTGCAGCCCTTTTCAACGTGAACAGCAGGTAGCCATTGTATAGAAGCAGCTTTATTTACGCATAGCAACATGCCTCAATACATACGACTTCTTACGGATATGGATATGGATATGGATACTGGTTTGGTGTATGAGATGGAAGGAACTGGATATAGACAACGGGTGAGGAAGGGCCTTTGTTCTTATTGTATGTACCTCGTACCTGTTGTCAACTTGAACTAGATGCTATCACTTGAGCGATTGGTGCATTCCAATACCGTACTTCGCACGCTATTCCATGACAGCAACATCATCGTTTGTGCAACATATCAACCATCATCAACCAACTGCATATTTTGACACGCCATGGACATATTTCGCCACCTCACATCAAGTACCACTTCACATCCATCTTAGAGTAACGCACGCATAAAGAATCAGAAACTTCCCATATCGATGTATCTTCCCATTGAGCAATTTGCTGTACTTCTCAATCTATCTCTTGTGAATGATGTTGGATTAAAAAGTTACTTCATCGTAAACGACATTGGCCAATTAGTTCAAAGTTTCTATAAGATCTTCCTTCTTCCTAAGTTAGACCTCGTTGTGTTGGGCATTTGATGCATTGTATTATAGAAAGATAATGTAGAATTATCGAACATGTCGTGGTCAATGCACTGGGTGGCGACATGATGCCCATCGTGCAGGGTAGAGCCAATTAAAACCTCGAAAAGGTACCTTTAAGAACCATCCTATTATCCACGCTAGTCGATTATGATAATTGAATGCTTTCGAGTGCGCACCAAACTATGCGATGGATGACTACTTAACTATGTACTCAGATGCAGGTATCAGTGATCATTTTATGATCATCCTCGCCCCATGCAAACACTTGGCAGCGTTAGAAGATCTTACTTGGATGTACATTTATTGACCCTTTTCTATCCTATGCATGTTTGGTGTACACAAGCGTCAGCATCAATTTCATGATAACATTATTACTTTTACTCTTCTCTAATAGAGGATTGTCCTCATAAACATTGCTATAAGGCTCGTTTGGGTATTGGTGCCAGTAGTTTAATTGAATGAGTATGGTGGTTCTCGCAATGAATCATGGGCACAAAGGATGATAAGCTTGTGAATAAACAAAGCGATTTGACACCTAACAGAGAGCTATAAATGCCAATCCACTTCAAAAAGCGTAAGTCACATACTCAAAGTGTAAATTGGCTCTCTGAGTCGGTTGCATACAATGGTATAGAAAAAAAGAAACATCATATACATGCATGATGCGACAAAGGGCAACATGGGTTATCGTACTATGAGCCTCAATCTTGTATAAGGACCGACAACTACCAAGCACAGCGCAGTTTACATTGAGCAGCAACATTCTCCGAGTCTCGGATGTTCATTGTTACATGCGAGCTTAATGCATACCCGTGCACATGTTTATATGCATGGGCGCTTAATCCGTGTAGCCGGAAATCATTTGAATCCATCCTTGGAATTACATTATAGATCCACTTGACAATGGCTCACCATTCATATGTGGGGGATGGGTCATCATCATTTGTTATGCATGAGTGATAGCAACAAGTAGCTGTATCCGATTAGGTTTGCTGTATCGTGTCACAGCCAGATAGCGGTTTCCTTCCGCTTCACAAGAATGATCTTCATGTTCATAAATTGTATCAAGACAAAGAACACCATTCTCGATCGCCAATGCATGCTTGTTATGTATATGTCAAATGATGGTAATGTTATGGTAGAGTAAGTGAGTAATAAGCGGGGGTTGTCAAGGTGTATCAAGCCATGATTGCCCGACAAAAGAGAAGACCGAGTGAGCGGGATTCACAGCTTTCTGTATCATCATCACACCAGATCCCATAAATTGCCTCTCATGGGTGATTGTTGTATGATCCTCGAGTTGAAACAATAGTAGATGCAACTTTGTAATGTGGTATCAATCATAGTACTATCTTATATGTATTTGGGCCGAGCAAAAGTAGATAATAACAACATCCATGACATGCAAGCGTTGGGATCGTGTCCTACAGTAACTGAAATTGCCCGACGCATCGGCGGTTGCACACATCTATCTCGAGAATCTGTTTAAGCTCTCACGCACTTTCTCTTCCCTCTCTTCTTCACTTGCCAAAATGAACGCCACTATTGAAACCGTCATTGACAACACAATTAACGGCCTTGACCGTGAGTTGCGCCAAATCAGTCTTCAGGTGCGTCAATGTCACGTGTGCCCAATGCCCAACTATAAGCAAAACTAATGCGTCCCATTTGACAGATTCACGATAACCCCGAGCTCGGCAACCGCGAATACAAAGCCTATGCTCTTCTCACTGACTATTTGGAGAAGAAGGGATTCAAGCTCACTCACAAAGCCGTTGGCCTTGAAACAGCTTTTATGGCCGAGTTTTCTAACGGTCCCGGTCGCCGTGTTGGCTTCTGCTGCGAATACGATGGTCTTCCAGGGTAAATATGGGAAGAGAGTACTCGTGTTGTTCTTTTACTGATGGCTCCAAAAAAAGTGTTGGCATGGCTTGTGGTCACAATTTGATCTCGGTGCAAGGATTGGCATGTGCTCTTGCTACCAAGGCTCTTATGGAACAAAACCTTATCCAGGGTACATTGGTTTTGTATGGTACACCAGCCGAAGAAAGCACCAACGGCAAGATTGATTTTGTTGAGCAAAAGGAGGTCCAAAACCGTGTTGATGTTGCAATGATGTTGTAAGTAAAAGGACAATGACAAGGGGGGAACAAAGAACAACATAGTAACGTATGGACACGTGATTTAGGCACCCTTTTGCAAAGGATTGCTTATATGCACTCATGTTGGCTCTTGATCAAGTCGAGATTGAATACTTTGGAAAGGCCTCCCACGCTGGAATGGCTCCCTGGAATGGAATCAACGCTTTGGATGCATTGATGCAAGGATGGGATAACATGTCTATGCTTCGTCAGCAAACTCTTCCCTCTAACAGGTAAGCAAGCAATTGATCAATGACATTCATTATTCATCGCATTAACCATCTTCATCATTGTGACATGTAAAGAATGCATGGATTTATTCAACATGGAGGCAATTCGGTAAGATAAGATTGGTGGCAGGGATAAATGAAACAAGAGTCTTTTAACACGTATCATTAGGCAAATGTGATTCCTGACTATGCCTCTGCCAAGTTTTACATTCGTGCCAACACTCGTGAACAGCTTGCTGAACTCAAGCCCAAGTTTGAGCAGTGCTTCAAGGCTTCAGCTGTTGCTACTGGATGTCAAGTGAAGTTGACTTGGGGACGTCTTGTTGAAGGTACATGGTAGTAAGCTTACGGATATAAGGGTTGTAATCTTACATTGAATGCATAGATGTCTTCGTGAACGATACCATGACTTCCATTTACAAAAAGTATTCAGAGCAGGAAGGCATGTCCTTTGCACCACGCACCGAAGAGGAAAAGACAACCACTGGTTCAACAGATATGGGTAACTTCTCTTACGTTGTCCCCACGATTCACCCAGGGTAAGTAAAAACATGGTTGGGAGATTGATTGATTGCTTATTTGCTTATTCATGCATTCCATTGCTCTACAGCTTCGCCATCGGTACCACAGCCGCCAACCACACTGTGGAATTCACCAAAGCCGCTCGTACTGAACAAGCTCACGCCTATACCCTCCGTGCTTCTCGTTGCCTCGCCAAGACAGCTGCCAGCATATATCTCAATGAAGATCTTTACAACCAGGCTGTTGCCGATTTCAAGAAAGGAAAGCCCCAATAAGCGACATTTGTTGAAATTAGAATATGACATGATTTTATATAAACAAGTGTTTATGCATGCTCTGTACAGCTATCTTTATTCAAATGATGATTGCGCACAGGATTCTTCATTTTCATACAATAGATGTCTACCTGTGGTTTTCTTGGTATAGATGTTAAACTAGCTACTCTCGCTTCTTCGGTATACAAAGTCATCCTTGTGTTCTCGCGTAGCTGTCAAGGTGTTTTCATCCTCGTCATCTTCAATAACAAGCACCGTTTCAGTGGATCCGAAAAGGTGGGCAGCTGTGGTCGAGTGCTGTGCGTCACGGTGTGGGGTGTACCATGTGTCTTTAGTCCATAGCAGGTGGTCATCCAATTCGGTGTGGTTAGAGTGCCTGAGAGATTTGCTAATGTCGTTACATTCACTCAATGCGATATTTATACGACTTGCCATCTTAGTGGTGCTGACGCTTATGGAGAGGCCTCAATTTACCTTGTGAGCACTGAAAATTGCTTCGTCAAACGCCAAAAACCAGGCAAACGAATACCCCCTTCACAGCATCACCATCCTGATCTTAAATCAGACATACATTATCGCACTTGAATTAAATTATGCAACATTTGAAGGGACCCAAATATGTGTTTTCATGCGGTGTTCAACAATTGACCTTTACCACCCACCCAACTCATCCAAAGATTACACAACATTTCATACGCTATTCAATAGGCCAACCATATTGTAAAAATCATAATGCTTCTAGTACTACACTCCAATGGGATGAAAAGAAGTACATGTTTGGAAATATAGATGCGATTATACTTGAAGGGAGGAGGAGGATCTGCATCATCTTGGATTGTACGACGTGAGTCATTCACACCAATGAGTCATGCCTATCAAAGTGTGTGTTCGAGCTCCGTCAGGGGTCCCGATTGTTATAAAAGCATCAGTTTCACTGGGCTTCTTCCCAGCCACCGAAAATTCCTCTTTGTTGCTCTCATTGCACATCTTTAGAAGATACACAGAACCTGTTTCTTTCTTCCTTGTGTGCTTTTCTTCACCCCTGCGTTTACATGAACTGTGCTTTTTACCTCATTACTTCTGGTCTCTTGGCATTCGACAAAACCTACATTGACAACATCCTTATCAAGTGAACACCACCTCAACAATGAACTCTATCAACAATTCCATTCAATCAACCCCTGCTCAAGCTGCTCCTACTCCTACTCCTCTTCCTCTCCAAGGTGAATCTCGCGATGGTGCTGCTGCTAAAGTCTCTGAAGAGATCCTTGGTGATGTTCCTCTCGTCAAGGTCGAAAAGGTGCTTGTAGTGGGCTCTGGTGGTTTGAGCATTGGCCAAGCTGGTGAATTTGATTACTCAGGTATATACAGGGGTTGTGTGCTGATTGATTAGTGTCAGCTGAAACTGATCTTTATCACTATCATATAGGCTCCCAAGCTATCAAGGCACTTCGTGAATCTGGTATCAAGACTGTGCTTGTCAATCCCAACATTGCCACCATCCAAACCTCTCATTCGCTTGCCGACGCTGTTTACTTTTTGCCTGTCACCCTTGAATACGTCACCTATATTTTGGAACGAGAACGCCCTGATGGTATCTTGTTGACCTTTGGTGGCCAAACAGCTCTTAATTGTGGTATTCAACTTGATCGTGCTGGTGTCTTGGATCGTCTCAACATCAAGGTGCTTGGTACACCCATCAAGACTTTGATCACTTCCGAAGATCGTGATCTTTTTGTCAAGGCTCTCAATGGTATGTTTTCTTGTTTGCTTGGTTCTTTTAAATCAACATGGAGCTAATGATGATGATGATTATAGAAATTGACATTCCTGTTGCTCAATCCACGGCTGTGGAAACTGTTGAAGAAGCACTTGAAGCAGCTTCCAAGATTGGTTACCCTGTTATTGTGCGCTCCGCTTTTGCATTGGGTGGTCTCGGATCTGGTTTTGCTGATGATGAGCAAGAATTGCGCTCTTTGGCGACCAAGTCTTTGGCATTGACGCCTCAATTGCTTGTTGAACGATCCATGAAGGGTTGGAAGGAAGTCGAATACGAGGTGGTGCGTGATTCTGCCAACAACTGTATCACCGTTTGTAACATGGAGAACTTTGATCCCTTGGGTGTTCACACGGGTGAATCGATCGTGATTGCTCCTTCCCAAACATTGAGCGATGAAGAATATCACATGTTGCGTACAGCTGCCATCAAGATCATTCGTCACCTTGGCGTTGTCGGTGAATGTAATGTGCAATATGCCTTGAATCCTGTCAGCCTCGAATACAGAGTTATCGAAGTGAATGCTCGTTTGAGTCGTTCTAGGTATGTGCCATCTTGTTTGATAAATAACGCTGTTTATTGATTGATTACACTATTCTAGTGCTCTTGCTTCCAAGGCTACTGGTTATCCTCTCGCTTTTATTGCTGCCAAGATTGCCCTTGGTCATACCTTGCCTAGTCTCCAGAACGCTGTTACCAAGACAACCACTGCTTGTTTCGAGCCCTCTTTGGATTATGTTGTGACCAAGATTCCTCGCTGGGATTTGTCAAAGTTCAACTATGTTGATCGCCATATTGGCTCTGCCATGAAGTCCGTTGGTGAAGTTATGGCTATTGGTCGTACATGGGAAGAGAGTATGCAAAAGGCTATCCGTCAAGTGGAACCCAGCTGGCAAGGTTTCCATGCGCTCAAGACCCCCATTGACGATGTTGATGATGTTCTCAAGAACCCTACCGATCGTCGTTTGTTTGCTATCAGCCAAGTGATGCTTCATCCTGATCCAGCTGTGAGAGCCAAGTACACTGTCGACTACATCCATGACCTTTCCAAGATTGACAAGTGGTTCTTGTACAAGTTGCAAAACATTGCCGATTTGCATTTGGAGTTGGAGGAGTTCAAGGGTACCGATGTTAGCAATGTGCCTGTTGATTTATTGCAAGATGCCAAGAAGGCTGGTTTCTCTGATATTCAAATGAGCAAGCTCCTTGGTTGTGATGAGATGGCTGTGCGTGAAGCTCGAAAGTTGCACAACATCACCCCATTTGTCAAGCGCATTGACACTTTGGCTGCTGAGTTCCCTGCACACACCAACTACTTGTACACCACCTACAATGCCTCTGCCAACGACATTGACTTTGAGGACAAGGGCACCATGGTACTTGGCTCAGGCGTTTATCGCATTGGCTCTTCTGTTGAATTTGATTGGTGTGGTGTCTCTTGCATTCGTGGCTTGCGTAACATTGGCGAAAAGACCGTGATGATCAATTACAACCCTGAAACAGTATCCACCGATTTTGACGAGTGCGATCGCTTGTACTTTGAAGAACTCAGCTTTGAACGTGTGATGGACATTGCCGAATTGGAGCATGCCAAGGGTGTCGTGGTGAATGTGGGTGGTCAATTGCCCCAAAACATTGCCTTGCGCTTGTATGAGAACCATATCAATATCCTTGGTACCTCCCCCAAGATGATTGATGCTGCTGAGGATCGATTCCAATTTGCTCAAAAACTCGATATGATTGGTGTTGATCAGCCAGCTTGGAAGGAGCTTACAAGCGTTGAGGAAGCACGTGACTTTGCTGACAAGGTGGGATATCCAGTGTTGGTGCGTCCTTCGTATGTGTTATCTGGTGCTGCCATGAACGTTGCCTATGATCATGAAGCTCTGGAAAAGAATCTCAATGAGGCAGCTGATGTGTCACCTTTGCATCCAGTGGTTGTGTCCAAGTTTATCAAGGGTGCACAAGAAATTGATGTTGACGTGGTTGCTTATCAAGGCAAGGTGTTGGTCCACGCTGTGTGTGAACATGTGGAAAATGCTGGTGTGCATTCTGGTGACGCTACATTGATTCTCCCACCACGTGATTTGGACGATGAAACAATGGCACGTCTCAAGGAGATTGCTGACAAGGTTGCCAAGGCATTTGAGATTACTGGTCCTTACAACATGCAAATTATCAAGCAAGATGCACCTGATGGTGGAAAGCCCTTGCTCAAGGTGATCGAATGTAACTTGCGTGCATCTCGTTCCTTCCCATTCGTATCCAAGGTGCTTGGTGTCAACTTTATTGATGTGGCTACTCGTGCACTTGCCGGCAAAAACATCCCTGAACCTGTTGATTTGATGAATGTCGAATATGGTTATCAAGCAGTCAAGGTGCCACAATTTTCATGGACTCGTCTTCAAGGTGCTGATCCTTTCTTGGGAGTGGAGATGGCATCGACTGGTGAAGTTGCATGCTTTGGCAAGGATAAATACGAAGCTTTCTGGGCAGCCATTCAAGCAACTCAAAACTTCCGTATTCCTCAACAAAAGGCTGGTGTGTTGATTGGTGGTGATGGTGAAACGGATGAAGATGATTATGTTCATATTGCAAAGATCTTCCACGAGGCTCTTGGTCATCCATTGTTTGTGCCTACCAATCAGGATGCTGAATTCCTCAAGACCAAAGCTGGTATTGATGCCAAGGTGCTCAATGTCGCCGCCAAGGCCGAGAACAAGCGTGAATTGAATCGACTATTCAAAGACCACAAGATTGACTTTGTGATGCATCTCGCCAAGGTCCGTCCTACTTCTCAATACGATGAAGGCTATATTTGCCGTCGTGCTGCAGTGGATTTCGGTATCCCACTTCTCAATGATGCCAAGGTTGCCCGCTTGTTTGCTGATGCATGTGTTCAAAAACGCGATATCGCTTCTGGTGACATTCCTAACGAAGTCAAGAGCTGGAGCGAATATGTTGCTACCAAGATTTAAGATACATAGACATACAATTCATATTTAGATAAAGCATTGAAATACAATTATACATTTGAAAAAGTATGTTATTATATTGAAAGTGGAAGTGAAAATCATGTGGAGGAGGAGGAGGATGAGGAGAAATGTAATGCTGTAAAGCGGTCCGTGGATTCACGCGCGCTCTCTCAAGGTGTGTGTGTGTGCCCTACTCTCTTCCTATCTAAACCCCTTTCTTTATCGATCCACAGCTAATCACTGCATTGTTGCCGTGCGACTTTCAATGCGTTGCGACTTGCCAACCTATGTCTTTACATCACTCGTCCTATTTGCGGCCGCATTCACTGTTTCTTTACAATCCTTTATTGACTCTGAGCTATGGCACAGCGTCAAGGAGTGCTATGGTGTTCACACGGATCTCGATCTGCCGGATGCTACTGACCAGCTACGGTTTCATTGGCATACTTCTATTCCAGCACTCGGATACAATCGACAATTCCCGGCCATGTCGTGTAGTGGATACATTTCAGCCTTCTTCACTTCGATCGAAACACAAAAGCTTAGCCTGCTGGTAACTATAAACTATACACACGCACACACACACACGTATCCAAGCAATTCAACCCTTACGTATCATCATGAATAGATACATATCAACATGGCTGTATGTTGCTTTGTTCTCTTGGGCAAGATCGTCATCAAGTTGTTCTTTAGAGGATTGTTACCCGTGGAGAGCCAGGTAAAAAGGAGTAACCCCAATGGTGTGCATAATAGCGTCGCTGACAATGGATGTGTTATTACTATAGCACATTTACGATCGAATGCTCAACTTTTTATTATTCAAAGTGATATTTGTGAGTGCTATTATGGATCCTGTGTGGATACACATTGTACGCTTGTCAATATGGATATCGGTGCTCGGGTTCCTGCGGATTTTCAGCCTCTTAAGTCGGGATCGCTTTGACCATGTAAGCCCCTTTGCTCTGATTTTGGACTAGGGAATCGGCATAAGCTGACTTGTAAACTCTCTTTTAGCTTGCCACCATGCCCTACTTGCCAGTCGCAGAGTATCGAAAAGTCACCGTGCTCTTATGCATCATTTTGATTTGCAACCTTGGATGGTTTGCTGCAAGCTATGTCCTATTCCCAACTTCAATCACTTTTCTCACTTTGGAGGTACAACAAGAACGACGCTATACGTATACAAAGCGATTATGATGGCTAACCCTTTCCTGCTGATAGTTTCTTCCTGTATTGTTGGATACCTTACAAGTGATGACCAAGTACTTTTCACAACTATTGGATCAATGGCGGGAACATGGCTTTGAGAGCAAGCGTGCCGTTAATTATTACATTGAGCTAAGCACAGACATGCTTGTCATGGCTCTGACACTAGTACAATACCTTCAAATTTTGGTAAGTTGTTTTGCTTGAACCATCAAAGGATAGCAACGTTGGCTAAAATAGACATCTCATAGTGGTCACATGGCATTTCATTTGGGCTGGTGGACATTGTGCTCTTCCTGAATGTTCGCAGCGTGTTGAAGAATCTTTACAGAAAAGGTATGGTGCATCGGGATCGTTGGCGAGCTATGTCGTATGTCAGGAATCGGTAAGTCTTTGCTATTGGATGTGGGATAAGGTGGCTAGAATCATTTAACATGTATTCTTTAGCTATGTTGACGCCACACCAACCGAATTGATGATGCGAAATGACGACTGCGCTATTTGCAGAGAGAAGATGAAGACCGCCAAAAAACTTGCCTGTGGACATCTCTTTCATGTGTATGTTTGTTTATTTTGACATGCCGGATACGTCATGCTTATCAAATCTTTATAGACATTGCCTCCATTCATGGATTCAACATCATGTGTCGAAACCTACATGTCCCACGTGCCGTCGATCGCTCTCACCACCGGCAACTGTAGGCGCTCAATCATGATCCTCACACATACAACGTTCACATTTTCCTTTCGCTCCTTCTTTTCTGCATTACCACCCATCCGCAATACAATAGCATCATCATCATCTCTCACTCTCACTTCAACACACGCATTACGTCCATCTAATACCTTATCCTATAATTGCCTGGTGCTTTCACTTCAAATCAACATAGTATACTTTTTTTGTTTCCCATTGGACCTTACTATTTAAGTTTGCACAATCTCTTGTACTGTACGAGTAAAAGGAAATACCGCTCGACATTGTATGGCATGAGAAATGCGTGTTGGGGTTGGGTTGGGTTGATAATTATGATCTGATGACAAGGACAAGGATAAGGGTAATTGACTCGTGATGGTATTGATCGGTGAATGTAAATTCAAAAAGCAAATCATGCATTGATCAATACTTTGTATATATTAGGTGTCGACATACCTTTGTATGGCATATCACTTGGTCACCAAGTGCCAAGGAGAATGTCAGCTTATCACATGTTGTGGTGAGCTTGGAGTGTAAATTGAAACGAGACAATGGTTGCAATCAACCTACATATATGCCGCGTGACAAACAGCCAACAACAATAAGCAATTGCTGGTCGAGAACATTAATTGCATAATATTTCATCAAGGCAATATTGCTTAATATTTATGGTTGTGTCTGAAAGCGGGTATGCTTTTTGGGGTAGGGGTAGAGGGAGACCTATGTACCCTATAGGCTATTACAATGGATGGATTGTATGTACCAATGCAACCAATAGATCCGTTACGCCAATGGAGAGGAGCTGAAAGTTATTCTGTGTTGGGGGATAATGCCGTTTAACAGAGCTTGGCCATGAATGGTAAGACACGACAAGACCCTGTTTCCGTGCAAGGTCAATAAAAACGTGGAGTCTCCTTGGTCAACACGCATTGGAAATAATTGAATAGCTCTCGGACCGAGTCGTTTACTCTTTCCGAGTTTCAGGGGGGCCCAAGTGGAATTGGTTACTCTTTCTTGATGTTGCACGCGAACGGAGGTTAAGCAGAATAAGAGACTGACAGAGGTCAAAGTTCCTTTTTTTCAACACTACGCCCCGATACTACTGCATGCAACAAGCTCCAATCGATACAATAGTAAAAAGGCGAGTAGGCTTTCTTTTTTTTTGCCACATCGACTCTGCTAATACTGATCTGTCAATTCGCCTAGAGCAGCCTTCTTTTGGACCCCCTGCCTAGATGTTGCAGTTAATGCTGCTGCTTTTGCGCGTGTGTGTACATGTGTTGTGCGTGTGTGTGATGATAAGTTGGGAAAGTGGAAGATTTAAAAGGAAGACACACCTCCTTGCTTTCTTTCTCCCCCACAAACTCGGCTCATTTCTTTTCTCCCTCTCTTCCACTTTACACCCTCACACACACACGACCTACACTTGCATCAGCCCTTTTTTCATTCTCTCTATGAGTTACCAAGTTGACCGCCCTTCACACCTTTTCCACGATAGCTGTACACCACCAGCTTTAATGAAAGATACTTTTTCAGTTACATTACCCGTACCGAGTACTGCTGGTGATACCATTTTGGGCCCGTACTACGACCATCGATCACTCTTTGACACTTCACCACATCACCATGATATGAGTACTCCTGCAGCAACAACAACGACAACAAATGGGTGGATGTTGTCTCCCGTTCCAGAGCATCATCATGCTGCTGCTGCATCTTTGGCGAATATCGGCAGCAGCAACAACAGCAGCAGCAGCAGCAGCAGCATTGGCGTTAACAATCATGGCCCGTCACCACCCCCTGCTGCTGTTGCTGCTCATCGTGCACCCCTACCAACGCCACCATTATCGTCTGTGGAGTCGCATCAACATCATCATCATCATCATCACCATTCATCTCCTCATATCCATTTTCCCTCTTGGTCATCAGCCATGAATAATAACAACAACACCGCATTGATCCCACCAGCGTCAATGACGTATTGGTTGTATCCTGCACAACAAAACCTTCATCATGCATCACCACCAGTTAAGGATCACAACAATCCATCCGCCACCAGGCGGCACAAGCCATCGTCTCCCTCATCGTCAAATGCAAAATCAACCAACAAATCTGCAAACTCCTCCTCATCATCAACACCTCCTCGACGATACAAGTGCAATGTTTGTGTCAAACGTTTTTCCAGACCAAGCTCATTGGCAACGCACATGCACAGCCATACAGGCGAGGTAATAGCATACCTTTATAAAAAAAAAAGATGCTGTATGGCTGATGGACCATGTATGTCATTCTACATAGAAACCATTCAAATGTCAAGTAGAAGGTTGTGGACGTAGGTTCTCGGTAGTCAGCAATTTGCGGCGTCATGCGAAAATCCACAGTGGCAAACCTTGTTTACAAACCACCGCCACCTGCTAAAGCGTGTGTGCACAGTAACTCCTGCCTCCTTGTTTTTGGGCGCACATGAGGGTAATTCTGTTTTTGGCTGTACACATTTGTTTATCAACCTTTTTTGCGTTTCCTCCTTTTTCCCTTTTCATCCACTACTTGTAGCATGTCGTGTAATTACTATTCTTAAAGTTGTTTACAAATGGAGCTTATCCTTGGCATCGTGATATCATCATCATCATCATAAAAACCTCTCACATATACTAGCTCACAACATCACGTGGTTTTTATATATATATTTATATGCACATCCGTTCCATGTTTAAACAACCCTATATCATGCAACTGTGTCTGCCATTCCTTCTGTTTGCTCGAAATAGGATTCCCAAAGTGCAACAATCTACGCATACACACACATAAACATTAGGTTGGTGCTGCTATCCGGAAATTCCATCTATAAAGGGAAGTAATGACTTGCCTGTTTTTGATGTTCGATCATGCTGCATAGAAACTGTTCGACGCTATCACGGAAATCCTCCACTTTTTCGTGATCAAACCGATCCAATTCGCTCTTGATAAGCTTTGAAATGTCCTCAAATTCGCGGTGGCATTCATCCATGCGTTGTTTTGCCTTTTCGTGTATGATGCTTGTTAACAATGAAACAGGGTAAATTGTAATTCAAATACCTACCTCGTTTATTTCCTGCTGTGCAGCAGCCAATCGTTCTGGTTTTGCACTCTTGGATTGATTGCCACTGAGACGGTCGTAAACAGCTTGCTTCTTTTGTACCTCCGATTCGGCTTGCTGATAAGCTTGGTATGCCTTGATACGTGCATTAAACGACACCTGCATAAAGGGAGAAAAAAGCAAGATTGGAATGGGTCACGCCATTCTGTTGGTCCAATCTCCACCCCCCTTCCCTTTCAATGCCTTACCCTTATTGAGCCTATAATGCGTATATACTCATCGATGGTGTGTTCTAATGAAAGTACATCATGGTGGGCCTATTGGCGATGATACTTAGTAACATACGTTTGGATCTCCCCTTTCAATGACAACATACCTGTTGTTCATGCAACTCCTTCATCCTCTTTTGAATATCCGCCAAAACAATCAAATGTGTTGATAGGTCACGATCGAGTTCAGCCGATGCAAGTGGTATCATGCTTTCACCAAAATCAGCAATTGCGCCACCCAAATCTAAAAAAAATCAAGCATACCATCGTGTTAGACAAGATACCATTCGCGATAGTCAATCCACCCTTCTTCATCTCTCCCTCGCTCGCTCCTCTCTTAACCTGCCCTTTCTTTGCTTGACCACGCTTTCAACACTCTTGAGCAATCCTTTGAGTTGGTTTTCAAGTGCTTCAAGCTGACTTCGTTTAGATGCGAACCATTCATCCACCTCGACGAATTTGGAAAAGGGGTTGCTGGCAGCATTGGAAATGGTCTCGCCAAAGGATCGCATAAGGCTTACTTTGGGGGCGTCAGGTTCAGCACGTTTTTGTCGTTTCTATCATAGTTCTTATCATCAGCGTCCCCATTTTTCTCTTTCAACGTACAAACCATAATAGAAATAAACTCACCTCAATATTGAAAGATTCACTCTCGAGGAATACCTTGAGATCAGGATCACCATAAAGCATAGGGTGGCGTACGATCTTTTGTAGACATCGTTCAAGTGCAATCCGCCGTGATTCTACAAATTCATCTTGAAAGCGTCCTATAGGATGGTGTGTGTTACTTTAGAAGATCGACATGCATTGAATGCCTGCTTACCCAAAGCGTGTTTTTCAGGAACAGGTGGTACAATTACACCAGGGTTACCAAGCGTGAGTTGATTGTAAAGCCATAAAAAGTCTCGATATCGACGTGCGACCACAAACTCTGGGGATCGAAAAGCAGGGGAGTTGGTCTACATGGACGGAAACGATACTTGAGTCGTACATGTCAATATACTCTCACTCTTTTTTTTCTCGAATGGATGGGTCCAGCATTCTTTTACCTTTGTTTTGACCTTGTATACGATATGTGCATTAATGGCATCGCCCACCTTTTGAGGATCTTGAACTGTGACATGGAAATACGGCCGTGATCCGCTCTCAGGCACTTGTAAGCTATCCGGCTATGGACAAAATAAGAATCATCCCTCTCCTATTGAGTACACACATACTTGGCTATATTCAGACGCAACTTCTTCAAGAGAATCTCGAGTCGTTGTCGTTGGCTGTTGCCCAGCATCCAAATGCAAAGACGCCATGCCATTGGAAATACTACTATTGCTGCTATTCACGGTTTGTTGTTGTTGTTGTTGAGGAGGAGGAGAAGGTGCTGATGGTTGTGGTTGTGTTGATACAGGTGAAGACGATAATGAAGCTGTAGCTGCTGCTGGTGGTGGTGTCGCTTGTGGTTGCTCTGGTTCTTCGTGTGATACTGTTGTTGGTAATGACGATGACAGCGTGGACTCATGTTGCTCGGAAGACATTGGTTGCGTCGACGAGGAAACGACATCAGCGAATGGGTTGGCTTCCAGGATACTGTCAAAGTGGTTGCCGTCAGCCGTTGCATCCAGATTGTCCATTTTGTAGAGTGTGTATTCCAAGGATAACCACTGAAAGGTCGTCGTCGGTCATGCTTGCCAGCTGAGTTCACATTTACATGCGCAAAATTATTCATTCACCTATGCATAAGCCGATGGATCCTTGTTGTATATAGACGCATTTGCTAGAGATTGGGATCTATAATAAATGGAACTACTTCAAGCGGATTGTCGATGAATAGGTGACAAGTGGTTGCATGTGATTTCATCGATATCAATGTATGCTCCATCAAATGAATACGCTATATCAAATGCAGCTTCCCATAATGGATTTTAGGTCGAGATATCAACAACATCGCTATCTTTTTTTTTCATAAAGGGTTTATTGCAAACGATATGCAAGGTTACATAACTCTGGCCTATTAAGTCTGATGTAGGAAACAAGATATGGGAAAGAGGAGGAATGAACTACTTTCCTTTTGATGAAGTCTTTGAAGAAGAGTTTTACGTATTAGTTTGCGTATATGATCCGAGAAAAGAGAAGAGGAGATGAATGTGTGAGAGAGGGTTTGCGCGTTGCTGAGGAGGGGAAAAAAAGCGATTTGGAAAAGGTTTTGTGATAATGGGGTAATCAAATCTATTGCTCATCCTCAAGAGGGAGCTCCTCTTCTTCCTCAAGATACTCCTCATCATCCATAAGCTCCTCATCAGCGGTTGCTTCTTGGTATTGTTGGTATTCGGAGACCAAATCGTTCATGTTGGATTCGGCTTCAGTGAATTCCATCTCATCCATACCCTCACCAGTGTACCAATGCAAGAAAGCCTTACGACGGAACATGGCAGTGAATTGCTCGTTGACACGCTTGAACAATTCTTGGATAGCAGTGCTGTTACCAATGAAAGTACCGGACATCTTGAGGCCAACGGGAGGAATGTCACAAAGCGAGGTCTTGACGCTGTTGGGGATCCATTCAACAAAGTAAGAGGAGTTCTTTTGTTGCACAGCCAACATTTGGTTCTCAACTTCCTTGGTGGACAAGCGACCACGGAAGATAGTGGCAACAGTCAAGTAACGACCATGACGAGGATCAGAGGCAGCCATCATGTTGCGGGCATCAAACATTTGAGCAGTCAATTCGGGCACGCTGAGGTTACGGTATTGTTGAGAGTTGAAAGCGGTCAAAGGAGCAAAGCCAACCATGAAAAAGTGAAGACGAGGGAAAGGCACTAATATGATGTATCAATGATGAGTATCATGTATGATACGCGTGATGTATATATAAAACTTACCCATGTTGACAAAGAGCTTACGAAGATCAGAGTTCAATTGACCAGGGAAACGCAACGAGGTGGAGACACCGGACATGACAGCCGAGACAAGTTGGTTAAGTTCACCATAGCCAGGGTTGGAGAGCTTAAGAGTACGGAAGCAAATGTCGTAAAGAGCCTCGTTATCGATACAGAAGGTGGCATCACAGTTTTCAACGAGCTGATGGACCGAAAGGACGGCGTTGTAAGGCTCAACAACGGTATCAGAGACCTTGGGAGAAGGAACAACCGAGTAGGTGCAAAGCATACGATCGGGATATTCTTCACGGATCTTGGAGAGCAAAAGGGAGCCCATACCGGAACCAGTACCACCACCAAGCGAGTGAGCAAGTTGGAAACCTTGGAGACAATCGGTGTGTTCGGCTTCCTTGCGAATCACATCCAAAACGGATTCAACCAATTCGGCACCTTCAGTGTAATAACCCTTGGCCCAAGAGTTACCAGCACCAGATTGAGCGGAAATGAAGTTGTCGGGGCGGAAGAGTTTGCCATAACCGCTGCCACGAATAGCATCCATAGTAGCAGGCTCAAGATCAACCAACACAGCTCTATAAACATACACACATTCTATTAGCCCTATTGCACACACACATCTAATGCTCTCTCTCTCTCTTTTTATCTTTTACCTTGGCACATATTTGCCAGAGGAACCTTCGTTGTAATAGACGTTGATGCGCTCCAACTGAAGATCATTGTCACCAGCATAAGCACCAGTGGTATCAATGCCGTGTTCTTGAGAGATGGTTTCCCAGAATTTTTGACCAATCTATACAAGCACCCAATATCAGTATTGCTGTAATAAAGAGTACCTCTTGTCATATGCCAAAGAAGACTCACTTGGTTACCGCACTGGCCTATAAAGAAGAAGGTTGTGAGTGCCTGGCACTCTTGAAGCATCGCGCATCATCCAACTTACCAGCTTGAACGTGAATGATTTCTCTCATGGTGGAAGTGAGTTTGCTTTATAGAGGGGAAAGGATAAAGAATATAAGCAAAGTGAAGGGTGATGACGAAAGGTAGACTTACTGTCGAGATTAAGAGTGGATGAGGAAGAAGAAAAAAGTGATGAGGGAAAAAGGAGAAAGAAAAGAGGGAGGTTGTTGGCTATGATGTCTCCAGTCAACAGCGCGCGGGGAGAGATATGTGTGTACGCCTCCACGTGCATTTAAGCCAAATGTGGGTTGCACACAGCGCTCTTTTAGCTTTTACTACCTCGCTCTCCCTGTTTATCGCGTCATGAAAAAACAATACACATAGCTGTGAGCTTAATATGAGGCCTACTATTCTTCAGTGTCACCAAAAAGTATAAAGATCATATCGTATCTTATGCAGCTGCATCATTTACTTGCAACAATGCAAAAAAACGACTGACACATCCGACAGGGGCTGACACCTACCCAACCACACCTATTCGGTCATTCTCAGTAACAAGGCACACACATCCAAACTGAGAATGGATCCATCTAACGTGTTGCATCCCCCAGTGTAACTTGTACTTGTCTCGTGTTGTCCATTCCCATTTCCGCAAGCAGATCGCTATCCATTTTACTGCATATAGTCCCTCAATGCCTGTATCACGGTGTTTGTTTCTCTCTTGAGATGCCTGTGCACGCGCCTTTGTTTTATTATTCATGTTCTTCATTTACATCTTCTTCCATCAACTGCTTTCTTCTATCGATAAGAGACCCAATGGTGCTGTATAAGAGATCATAGATGCCATGGAAACCAAGGTGATTCAAGTGCTCGAGGAATTCAACGCAATACTCATTGTAACTCAACTAACAAAGAAATCCAAAATCATGTAAGGCCATATGCAAGAAAAAAGCACACCACTATTCCCATATTGGTACTAACCGTGCTGCCCATCGCTTTCAGTAACTGTGGTGTAACAGGCCCATCATGCGCAGAATTATCCATATTATCTTCATTCATCCAATCCTATGCCAAATGACACATTAACATCATGGCTTTGCATGACATCCAAACACACACACACACACTTACAGCCAAGAACTTTTTCGAGTACCCTGCCAAGCAGGTGGTATGTGTAAGAGATAATGCGAGCTCCATGGATTGGCCGCGCTCCTCGACCATTGCTTTAAACGTGTCGTAATTGGCTCTATGCGAGTAGATAAAATAAAAGAGCATCAATGTACCATGATTACGTAGCATCCAAGTTGGCCTCTCACAACGTTTACTTACTGTGACAAAGAAAAGGGTATATAATCAGGATTGGTGCGTCGATGTGAAACATTGGCCCATAGCGAAGAGCATACATCCATCACATAGGAATTGAAATTGTCGAGGTATTCTGCAGTGTGCCGTGCGACCCAATCTCCTGTTTGCTTGTCATTCTCCTCAAACGCCCGCTTGTACTGAGCAATGATGCCACAAATACGTGATAACGCCATACCCGTATTTGAAAAGAAGCTGCGATACACAACCGGTGCCGCAGGAATAATGATTTCGGGAATGTCGTGTGCCAAAGACATCGAGGACACCAGCTCAAAAAACGATAAACAGGCGTGTTGTAAGAGAGGATGATCACTTTCCATCACTAGCCCAAGTGCACTGATGCGATCCACGTGTTGAATGAGATGATGGATTGAGGAAAAGTACTCGACGTCAAAATCAAGGCCACGGAATAACCAAACCCTATCCACAGCATTGAGTACGACATGATTGGTTGCTTGCATAAACACGATCTTACATGTTATCCACCTCTGTATCAAGGTCGGGATCCATTCGTCGTTGACCATGAGAGCGCCAGTCGATAAGAGCCCAATTCTTGACCATCGATGTATAGCAAAGAAGGAGACGAGACTACATGAAGCATACATCAGCTATCATGCCATACCCTTATAGATGTTGCAACTTGCCTTCCACGTCACATCCGATACACAAAACAGCTGATAAAGCGGCCTCAGATAGTTGTGTTCCAAGTCTATAATAAAAAGTTAGTATGCCTAAATACTATGGGCCTGGATCTATCCCTTTACCTTCAAACGCAAGTGGTCGCACATAGGTCAACAGCTCAAAGATCTCATCAACAAAGTCGATACCATTCCAACTGCTTATATACTTCTCAAGGAAGGCTTCTACAATGGGAAGATGTGCCTACGTTTCGCATATAAGCAACATGATAGCCATGCTCAACTTGTAATACTTACCCGAGTCAAACGCGTCATGGTGATTAACTTGACCAGCAAGTCCTTGAAGTACTCGTGTGATGTCTCCGTATAATGCCATCTCATCAAGCTCTGTAGTGTGTTGCTTAGCCAATAGCTGATCCGTAGAATAGATGTATCTAGAGAACCACATGTCAATCAACGGTGCTTTTCCTAATTCAATGGCATCACTTACCATCACTACAGCAAATAAGCACATGTTGCAAGAGACGATTGTTGAGAACAGCAGCCATCCGATCTGGTAATTCTAGTCGATCAATCATCCTGGCAAGTCCACCCGTGTCCGTAAATTGATTGATAGTAACCGAATCCTGAATAAAGACACCAAAAGCTTTAGCAATACCCATTATTGGATATCCTAATGCACTTACCAATTGTTGACGGGTGGTGGTTGCATGGGGGATTTCAAAGATGGCGGATTGTTTCGCTCCAAGCCTTCGGCGTTTGACCATTCTCGCTCCTGGTACTGGTGGTCGATGTAAGCCTTCTTCGCTCAAGAGATATTGATGCTGCCAAAATGCTTGGATTTGTGCAATGTTGTCTCTCATTTCTGGATCGGGATGCTGTGTGCGTGTGTGTGACCGATAAGTATGGGAACCAAATGCATGATTCACCATCACCATCATCCACTTACCGAGAAAATGAAATTTGTTCTTTTCACGCTTCGAGGCAATTCGATTTCAGGATAATACCCCTTGTACACGCTCAACAAGCCGTATAATTCAGGTTCTGCTCCAAACTTGCTAACCAGCTCTTGGCTATGCATAAGGAGGGAGTTAGCCGGTGTTGAGATTCACATGTCATATAGTACTGTATACTTACAGACGTTCAATACGATGACGCTTTACATGTACACGCTTGGTCATGAAATAGAGCAGATGGCAAAGTTGTGGTCTAAATGAAAAGGTTTAGTAACCTACTCATTAAACCAATCCTCACTATGACGTACCTAAAAGTTTCCATGGTAAGGTAATGGAACAAGACTGGATACAACTTGACAACATCCTCGGGCGTCTCGATCAAATCATATACACACACAACCCAATTGAGCAGACTTCCCTATACTCATCATCATTAGTGACCGTTTAGTATAGTTGCTCCTGATAGAGTCGTACCACAATGGTGGGGTTCATATCACGGCATGAAAGTTTTCCAAAGATGCGGATGAAGAGTCGTGAAGAAATCAAACGGCGTGGTAAGAGCAACTTGATCATTTTCCTGGCAGCAAATTGACCTATGTATATACATACATTGATAAGTATACGTGATCAAGATCAATGCATAGGCATATTACGTACCAAGTTTGCCACTGAGAATAAGATCCAATATGACGTTTAGCTGGTCATTGCTGAGGCCATACTTTTCAATGATAGGTTTGATCTTGTCATAGGTTCCTGGAAAGCGCTTGTTGAGGGCCCCCTTTAATGCGCCTAGTGTTGGATACTTTAGAGAACGTTCTATAGAAATGATAACGTCGTATGTACACGTACCACCATTGAAAAAGTACAATTCCCTTTGTAAACGCTCATCGGCTTCTTCGGCGTCACGATCAGGTTGCGAGATTATGGAAGCTGTCTGGACATTGCTGAATACAGAATCGGGTATGCTGCGAGTATCTTCTTCTTGTTGGCTTTTACTGTACGTGGAGGAATACTCGCCTAGGAACAGTGCATGTAAGTAATGAATTGAATAGAGACGAGCAGCACTTACTGATCAGCGACATTAGATAAAGAAGTGGGTAAAGTGTAGGTCAACGAGAAGAATGCCGAATTTGGAAACGGGAGGAAATGATACAGCAACAACCGCGCATTTCGCGACTTTGGCGCTCGCGCCCTTATCTCACTGGTTGTGTTACATGGTGCATAAATGGAGCTGTTTTGACCCTATCTTTTTGGGCCATGGTTTATGTAATAGTGGTATACGCTCTTGATGAATAAAGGGATCTTGAATGAATGATGTCATTTTAAGCATTCACGAGAATGCCGTAGTCATCACCGATTCTGGTCATTGTTATCCATCAGTATTTTTAGAAACGAAAAGGACGGATTACTTTATGTGATAATAAAGTAGGGCTGAAACACAGGATGATGATGATGATGATGGGTGATGGTGATAATAAGAGGTAGTAGGTGACCATGCTTGCTGAGCACATACATAACAACCAGGTTTGGGATTATATAACAAGGAGCAGGAGATAAAGAAGGAATGATGAATGTTCACTTGAGTGAGTGTATTCTGCATACACAGAGAGAAAAGGTTCATATCCGTTTTCAACCTTCCTTTTTTCCTCTCTTTCTCTTTCTCTCTTTTTCTTCTCTTGTGTGTCCAAAGACAAAACACATATGAACAACCACCTCTTACCACCTTGCTCATTCCATGAATCAGACAACTAGCGATGCCAACATTACGCCTTCCTTAAGTCCAGACGCTATGGGCGATGGTGATACCAGCAACAATGATAATTTGGGTGCACAATTATCGGCCATGTCCATCGGAATAATTGTACTTTGTGCTTTATTTGGGCTTGCATTGATCATTGCGATATGGCTCCTATTCATGCGAAGAAAACGCCATAAGCTCACGACGGAAGATAGCCATCATCATCATCATCAGCATCAGCAAACCACAACAACAACCCCATCTAGTGGTGGCGTGATGGTTCAAGGGGAACAGGGTGCTGGTGGTGGTAGCTTGAAGAAACGCATCAAGGAACATTTATGGCATCATGATCGACAAGACAAAAAACAACAACAACAACATTCATTACCTACGGTGGACGATCTTGTGTTTTCAGCCATACAACAACATTTACCACCTCATCCACCACCACCCACTTGTCATCAACAACAACCTACTAGCGACCATCATCGTTACAGTCAACCTGACTACCATCATCATCATCATCATCATCCTCAACAACATGAGGGTGCCACTGCTGGCATGTTTGAAGAAGGCTACTCTTATAGCACATTACGTGGTACGAGTACAGCAGCAAGTCATTGTAGCAAAAGTTTACCAGATGATCCTATCCTTCAATCCCTTGCCAGGCAACGTGAAGTTGACAGGGCTGGATATTACAAGAGTCGCACGTGTGCCATTGACAAAGATGAAGAAGCTGCCATGCTACAACGCCTTTCCATGTCGTCATACCATGTCTGGTGAAAACAATATACCATGCCCTCCCTCCCCTTTTCGCCCCAAAATCGTCGCCTCCTCCTCCTCCATACAATGCATTACATATAAACACACGCACACGCACACACATTTGTATATATCTATATTCTCCTCTTTCTCCTTTTTTTTCTGTAAATGGACCTTCTTCTTTATATGCAATTATGTATATCATCCGTCTTTTCATTAGTGCCTTGTTGTATACTGGCAATGACATTTTCCATACGAGCAGCATGGCTATAGCGACAATAACCCATGGCTACGCTCCATTGCCACATGAGACGTCGTCGTTTACGTTTGTTGTTGTAGATCCATGATTGTTTTATAGGAGGTGGTATGTCTGGTAGCACTGGTGGTGTTGGTGGTAGTGTTGGTGAATGATGCAAAGTACTACTTGAGGTATACGAAGATGCAGCAGTGGACGTGGAAGGTGAATTAAAAAATGTAATAGACCGAGGACGTGAAAACAAAGATTCATCGCTTGTAAGTGTGGTGGATGTGGTTGTGGTTGTGGTGGTAGATGTGGATGTGATATTGGTACTAGGAAACGTGGCGGGTCGTGGAATTGCTGTGGCAACGGGTGGTGGAATTTGGGGTAATTGATGCTCATCTTCCTTGAAACTCATAGCAACGACTTGACAATGATGGTTGTTTTCTTCCCGAAGAAGAGCTTGATGCCAATACATCCTAAGTCTACCACGTTCGAGCCACATGGCCCGTTTCCGCCGACGTCGATAATGCCACCTTATCCACCGGGCAATATAGGCTACGCTGTACAGTGATACGAGACACACGACGATGATAGGAAAATATTGGTTGTAGACAGTGGATTGGGCAAGGGGTGGTAACGAGGACGACTTTACAGAATTGTCGCTGCTGGTTGTAATAGTGGTGGTAGTAATAATGGTGGATGATGATGATGGGGACGCTGCTGGTGCCATCAAGCTATGAAAACTCGTTGGCCTACCGCTCGCTCTCTCTCTATCTCTCACTCTCGATCGTTTGTATATATATAATATAGATGGCCTTGCTTGCCCTAATGATAAATGACAGAAAGAGAAGGGAACGATTGGATTCGAATTAACGAAAAGAGGAGAGACAGAGAGAGAGAGGGAGTCAATGAAATAAGAAACTTAACTGTCTTATTGGTAACTGCAGCAGTTAGTGTTCAAGGAGCTTATCAAACTTTTACCGCATAGTGATCGCTTGGCAACCGTTACTGCAAGTCATAACATCGCACCCTTTTTTGTCGGCTGTCAATGCGGGATTGTATAGAAAACAGGCGAGTGAATGGGGTAACCAATATGGGTGCTATCTGAATAACTAGGCAAAACTCATATTATTTGTGTGTATATGCAAAGGATCGGCCCGAATCTTCTTTTTATGCAAAGGAACTCATTTGTCACGAGCAAAGTCGAATATCGTCACTTTCTGTATATCTGCAAATCATATTACACACATGACAGCACATTGCTTTCCTCTTTAGGGGGTTGATACAAGAGAAGGGTGTTTGATGAAACTTTATGGAACCGGGGAATAGTATACAAAATCTAATCTTCTGAGATAATAGGGTCACCGTTTCGTTTGAAATGAAAAAACATGGTACGATGATGCTGGCTGGATACCTTTTTGCTTTTGTGTGTGTTGTGTGCGTGTGAATGAAATATGAAAAATGAAAAGGGATGGAGCATGCATTTTTTACAAGAGAAAAAGAGCGTGTTGTCGGCTATGGTACATCTCGTGAGGTCTATATTTGGTTGATGGATCTATACATAAAGGAATACAATGAGATTGTCTTATGCGCATGAGTCATCATCATCATCATCATCATCAACTCACCTTGAAACACTCTCAAAGAGACGCTCAATGTCCGTTGCACAGCGTGTGAAGGAATGGTTCCAAAAGTTGTAGCGAGGATTCTTGATGAGCTCGATAAAGGTGATGAGTAGACCCCATGGATGAGGGCGGTTTACAATCAACCGTTCCAGCAATACACGAGTAATCTGTTCCTTGATCATTTCATTGTCGCTTTCGGCAAACAGATAAAGAAGCACACAGCTGAAGTAATGGGTATGGCTGTTTGGATAGCGCAATTGATTGGCGATAGCACTCAAGAATACATAGCAACCTACATCATTATGCAAATGTTGATCATAGATAGGTTAGTAAACCCTGACCCCCTTTTTATCCATGATCGTCATTTTACCTTCAGAATCCAGTTCCATGAGCAATTGCTGATAAATTTCAATGGGAGCACCTTGGTTGACAGGGATGCCTTGTAAGATGCCCGTAACACCCACATAAAACACCAATGCATTCACCAATGGAATATTGTATTGGGTTGTTGCCGAAGGAGGAGAAGAAGAAGAATCATCCACCACTGCTGCTGCTGCCATTGGATCAAGGGTGAACTTTCTAGCAAGATCAGCCAAACGTTCTTTGGGTATGCGTGATTCCAAAAAGTCGTCAACGTCCTGTTTGATATGATTGGCGGTCAATGGGCCCACATAATCGGACAAGATACGGGGAGCTTGGTTGATTTCCGGCAACAAGTCCACCTTGAGGTTCGGTGTAAAGGGATCAGGAAGACGCATGTTACGAGGGAATGCACTTAGGATGAGATTGCGTAGTTGGATGCATGATGCTGGAATGACATCACAAAAGCTGAGATGATAGTCGCTTAGGAATTCGGGGAAGTCATGGAGAAGGACCAAAAGAATACGCAATGTGCCGCGGTATAGCATGCGCGTAGTATCACGTAATTCGGCATCACGCAGGAACGGTACGAGGAATTGGAACAGGCAAATGACAAGTCGCTGGAAAGTGGGCCATCCCTGCATAAAAAGAACAATGAGCATAAATTACAATCTAATCTTCTCTTTGTATATCCACCCACACTCACCCTTTGATTTTCCGACAAGAGCAACTTTGGCATAAACAAACGATGGGATATCAGCTGCAACCAGGCAAAACTGAATCCTGGGAAAGAGGATGGCTGCAATGTGTAAAATGTGTTGCTGAGTGCTGTAAGGATACCAAAGTAAACGGGAAGTAATTGTTGCTCAGCTGCATGAAGATCGCTTAATAGACATGTAAACAATCGCAAAAAGGGTCGCTGATTAAATTGATCACCATCACGCTCGTGGTGCTGAGACAAGATCAATACAGTGACAGAAAGCACCTTGGAGAATAAATTCACTCTTGCAGCTGCTGAGAGAGTATCCGATTGCACTTTGACGAGGCCAACAACGAGCTTAGAGAAGGCATCAATAAGTTGGTAAGCAGCACCAGGCGCCTGACCAGGAATTTGCTTGAATCTCAAAGCACGTTCAACAGCAGCCTCAATACACACACGGAAGAATAATGACGACATGTCATCCGTTTGGAAGATGGTGTGCTGTGAAAGTTGAAGAAGGAAAACACCTTGTGCCTTTTCATTGGTGGAGGGATGTTGGCATAGTTGTACCCATTCGGCGAAAAAGTAGCGTAGCTGTTCACGTAAACCAGCATCACCACCTTCGTCTCGTCCTTGACCACGTACGTTGCCACGTAGATTATCCATCAATACCAATACACCATCAGGTATACTTCCACGCAATCGACTGATAGCTTCCAAAGAGATCGCAAAGTCTTGAGGAGATGCCAAATTCTCATCAAAGATACAGCTATTGACAAGTTGAGCTGCAAAGTCAATGGCAGTAGGTCGACCACTCTCGACAAGGTGTCCAAGTTCTTGGTCTTGTTCCATTACATTGATCAGGCCGGCCTTGATCAGTGCCACGGTAACAGGAACATTGTATTTGCGTTCATCATCCACATGCGTAAGCCAATAAGTCACCAAGGTACCGACATTGGGAGATACCACGCATAGCCTTTCAAGTAAGACAACATACACCTCGCGTGCAAGTTGAGTCTCACTCTTGTACAAGCGAGACACCACCTTTTGAGCGAATGCACGTGCTGTTTCCACCTTGTCAAAGCTTGATGAGGCGAGTGTTGGTACTTGGCGAATGATCACACGAATATCATGCAAAGGCGGTAATGATGCGAAATTAGGTGCATTTGTTTGGCTGACCAATGTCTCGAGTTCCACCAAATATTGATTGAATCGTTCCAATACTTGATGAGCAGTGTGTTGACCAAGCATGCTGTCATAGCCACCATTACCACCCCCTGTTGAACCTGCATTGATTGCTGCTGCTGGACCACCGGCAAATGCATTGGCTCCTGGTACATTGTATCCTTGTGTATATGCATCACCAGGATGGCTCATGGGTGTAAGAGTATCGGCCTCTGCTTGTGGTGCTGATCTTGGAATACGTCTAAAGTCCTCGTATACTCGTAGCTGTGCAGAATGCATGCCGTTAGGCTTAGCTCGCAAAGGCTCAGGCAATGACAATGGATATCGAGACATGGAAAACACATCCATATCAAAGAACGGTTGACCGGGTCGCTGCTCTCGGTGCTTTTTGCGATTCGCATACGAGTTGATAAGCAATTCATCGATCTCGGCCGCAACCTTGCTCATGGCAACCTTTTCAATCACTGCACACACTAGATCCAAGTTGTCGGATACAGTAACAAGCACTGCTTGTTCAGCCATGGCCTAATAAAAAGATGAGTACCCATTTTAGCATTTCAGCCCATGTGCATTATTATCACTCACACTACTTACATCAGGGAGACCATTGGCAACAAAAATGGCACGTAAGTTGGTTGCCATACTCAATCGAAGAGGTTCCTTGCACGTAACCATGGCAAGACTACCAGCCAAGCTTTGTGCCATCATATGGGCAGCGTTGCGCATTTGATTCTCATCCGATTCCACTGCAAAGTCCTTGGTGATAAGCTCGCGTGTCGACACCGATGCAATCGCCACCGATCGTTCGACAACGGGTTCAATGATCTACAAAAATAAGCAGCATGTAAGTATCAAGCCAACACATGAATGCGACATCCTCCCCTTACCTCACGAATAGATTGGGTAATCGCTTGCACCACCCATCGCTTTGAAGTGGGTTGCGATGAGTAGAGAATGATTTGTGGGTTGAATACGATGTATTGTGCAATGTTGGGAATAGCAATGTTGGCATCATCCATGGCGGCACCATCCATCACGTTCGCTGGAGGAATAACGGCTGAAGCTGGAGATCTGCCAATCGTCGCCTCCATGCTGGCATGGCTGGCTCTTCCTAATCCATCCATCAAAGCATTCTTTGCTGCACTACGCGCTTCATAATCCTTGAGAATCGACGTGGCATCAATACCTAATATGACATGTTCATATGAGATAAAATGACCTGAGAATAAAATTCATGTGTACTCACTTTCCAGTTCAATGGATAATCCGTTGCACAAGACCTCGATTTCAAACTTGAGATTCAACTTGAGATCTGCACTATGGTACAATTCGACCAAAAGCTTAAGCGTAGCCATCAACCATGGGTTCGGAGGCTTGAACACGATGCTCTTGTTGCATTGTTCCAAAACCTTGCACACAAACGGGATCACCACGATCAATCGATTGCTGTCATATCCTTCAAGCAAAAGATCCTAAAAGTAATTAATATTAGTTGGCTGCTTGAGTAACAAGGAAACAAAAGTATGCATACCTTGAGAGCAATATGTTTATGTCTAATTGGCTTATTACGAGCCAACGTCATGCCACCGAGCCATGAACCAAGATTCTTGAGTAAGCTCCTTTCTGATGATGACGAGACCGTTTTTTCTGAGTTCAACAAAACCTGGATATTGGCATAGGTCTCACGAAGCACGTGTTGATAAAGCAGCGTGCTGTTCAATGAATCAATCAACAAGAGATACAAGTCATGATAATTCGGCTCCAAGCTGACACGTTTGACGACAAGGTAGTTGCTGAACCATTTGTATGAAGATGCATCGAGGATCTTGACCAGCTCTGAGGATTTGTCTTCCATATTGTTGCGAGCAATGTTGTTGATAATAAATAGAATCTTGTCCTGTGTATCTTCGGCAGGTGTCTCATAAGCGATTCCCTCCACTGGTTTAGGTACATCAGGTACATGAATTGCCGTAAACACTGGTATTCCCTCTGCACTGCCAACATCCATTGGTCGTTGCTGTTGCGGTGGTTGTGGTTGTGGTTGTTGTTGTTGTGTTGCTTGATTAGGCAAATCCACATCACCTTGCTGTTGTTGCTGCTGCACTTGGGCTGATTGCAAAGAAGCTGCGATGAAACGTGCCAAATCAGGATTAGCTTGTTGAAGTTGGGTGATTTGGAGTAGGCTTGCACAAAATTGGGGCCATTCAGAAAGTCGTCCTTGGAATTGCATCACCGCTTGTAAACCAAAATTGAACATCTTGCTACCAAGAGGATTACGCAAAGCATCCAAGACGCATCGAAGGGCGATACCAAGAGACACGTACGACACCAAATGATTTTGCACCAGCAAGCCAAAGAGCACACTCGTAATGGAGAGCTCCTTGTCAGGATACTTTGGGAAAAAGTGATATTCATCAAAGAGATTGTGGATCATGCATGCAAACACATCTTGTTCACGAGGATTCTTGGATTGACTAAACATCTTGAGCCGCTCAATCATGTCATCCACTGATATTTCGCCACTGTAGATCCGCTCATAGTAAGCATTGGCCTCCTCCTCGACATCAGGCTTGAATGACACCTCCGTGCTACCACCAGGGCCACCTACATCAGGTGCTCGGCTTGTATCCAACAACTTGGGATAGGTATGTATGCAAGTCTTTTGAACCTCCTTAAGAAGCTCGGCATTGTCTGGTATCATGGGGCTGAATGACAATCAATGAGTGTTCATTGTCCTTGTGTTGAAACAAAGGATCCCTTACCTTTCAGAAAGCACCTTCAAAAAGATACCAATCACTTCCATCGAGAGAGGCATTGTTGTTGGTGTTGCATTGCCTTCTACACGTGACGCCTCTGCAGCCAATTTCTGGCTAAGGAATTCCAAACATACGCGGATGAATACATCTTTGTGCTCGATGACCTTGTCCTGCAACCATTTCTCCAAATTCAAAAACTCTCGGCGAGCCGCTAGAGCTGCCAGGTCCAAAGCAAAGAACAACGGCTGGATATTCAAAATAACAGGGAGCAACTAATGAAATAATAATGTCAATAAGTGACACATTCAATGACAAAAGAAAAGAATCTCACCTTGAGTTCGTGAACAATGTCCAAAATACGAGAAAGCGATGTGCCATCATTTCCATACAACTCGAGAATGCTCTTGATGAAGAAATCGGAATTGACTTGCCAGAGCTTGGTCAAGACAAGTGGGCTACTTGTAGTGCCTTTGAGGTACATGATAAGCAAGCGCCCAAGGATATCCTTTTGGAACCCAACATTGTTGGTACTCTAAAGGAAGTATTAAGAATCAGTACCACGTATTCGCTTATTGATCTCATTTGCAAATTTACCTGTGCCTGCAGAAAGCCAAGAAAGACAAGCTCTGGGGCCTTATTCACCATCATATCCACAAAGACTTTGGCATCATCTGCCACCACGGTGTTTGACAAGTCGAGGATGCACTCCATGAGGTCTAACGAATTGAGCTGGCTTTCATAGAGCTGTGTTGCTTGCATTTGAATCTGGGCACAGGCTGATGCAAAATCATCGACTTGAATGATCTTTCTCTTGGAGCATGTGACAAGGCTAAGAGCATCGGTAGGAGCATTGACCATTTGGTATAATGCAGAAAGCTGGCCCTTCAAATTCCGCCATTTGCCAAAAAAGCTGTTGACTGGGAATGGTTCCGATTTCTACAACATCCATGTAAGATACATTTTCACAGCCCATCAACCATGAAAGTACATACCTTTGGACAATGTTTCCAAGCCCGTACAAGGATATCCAAGCCCTTAGCGTCGTAGATAAAGAAATGGGCGTAATCCAAGTCCTCAATAATCTTGTCCCAATCAAGCTCAGGGTGCTAGATAGATAGGTTACAACGTTGATCTCTTCCCATTGTCCTCCCCAGCCCTGATATCATGTAACTCACCACATCAATCACCACGGTTACAAAGTTTTCCACATTCCAATTTGACTCGTCCATGGCTGATCCATCACCCACACCGCTCATGTTGGTATATGAACGAGCCATACAACCCAAGGCGACTGCTACATCCTTCTCGGTGACGTTGATGCCCGACAAAAGCTTCCGTACTGATTCTGGTGAGCTGCAACATTCGTATCCAGATTCCAACAGCTTCTCGCTGAGTGCACTATCCTCGCCATGATCTCCTTCACCATCCCTAATTGTATATAAAAAGACATCAGCAGTTGCTCTCTCTCTCTCTCATACACATACGATAATTTACCTGATGACTTCCTTAGCGGATGAAGGTTGGATCTTTTCAAGGATAGATTGATCGTTACAATGCTTGATGACCAAAGTGGTGAAATGTTGAATATCCTTAGAATCGAATAGCTCGGTTGCATTTGTATCCATCACATCGAGACACCAAGAAAACATCTTTCCAGGAAGATTGCTGCTGTCCTTGGCTGACAATTCATCAAGGGCTGGCTGCATGTTGTCTTTGACCATGGGTTTGACTAGGTGATATCATGTTCAATATCCTATCCATATCTCATAATAATCCCCCCTCTCTCTTTCTACTCACCTTGATCCACAGTGGATTCCTTGGGTGATTGCAATAAAAGACATCCCAATGCAAATTGTTGGAGAGCATTAAGATTCAAATCCTTATACAGTCGTTCCAGGTCAAAGGGATTGGATGTAGTCAAGATTGTATCAGATCGATAAAAGCTGGCCAATGTCTCAGCAAATGTAATGAAAGCTTCTGCACCTGAAAAATCGATGGTGTTGCCGACATTGCCTTTGAGCAATAAAAGTGACGAAGATTCATCGTTGTCATTGTTGGTGTTGCTGCTGCTCGCATCATGTTGTCGACTAATATCCACAAGTAAAAGACGCACAAGATGCTGTCGAATATCTTCGCCGTGTGTATCGACAAGCTATAGGAAGGATGATAAGAAACATGGATGTAAAAGGATGACAGGTATACACACATACAGATTGAATATCAGGAGCAATCTTTGAATAGTTTTCTTTAGTCAAGTTGGATGCAAGAAGGCTGACTTGGGCTTTAACGATGCGTGCAAGACTCGAGAGTTGTAGTTTGGACGCGGGACGTTGGCTGACGGGTGAAGTTACTGGACTGGCAGTGGAAGAATTGTCTATTTCGCTGCTCATGGTTGCCGATCACTGGGGCATAACGATATTGCGTATGAATTGCTTTGGTGTATACGGGATGGGTATGCGTTGGCGCGATGAGGGAAAGAAGTGTCTGTGCGTAGAATGTAGAGAGGAATGCGTGCGTGAATGTGTGAGTGTGTGTGTACGTGTGTGCGTGTGCGTGTGAGAAAGGTTGTGTTGTTGTAATTGTTGTTGCTTGCTTGCTCAAAGTCCAACTAGAAGATGTCGAAAGGGGATAAGAAGAGTGTCCAATGACAGAGATCCAATGCTTACACCAAAGACCAAGATCCAACAAGCGGCGCGAGATCGTGTTTCTGGAGCGAGTAAGTGTGCAGGTGGAGTTGCGTCCCACTTAAAATTGGGGAGAGAGAGAAGAGCGATTACTCTCAGTCATTGTGACTTAGCATTGTTGGTGTAGTAGGCAGGTGTCTTATCATTAGATGCCCATCTTCTTATAGCCACTACCACTACCACATACATATACATCATCTCTGTTTCATCCCTACAAAACATTGGCATGTTGATCACTACATATCTTGGATACCATAACAAAAAGAAATGACAGGTTGTTGGTAATAGAACGAGGCATGTCATTCATTATACATCAACGAAGCTAGCACAAAAAAAGAATATCAACATCTGCTACCAAGGAAATGGGTATATTGTTTATTATCATACAAAGAATATGGGAAGCTGACCCACATGAAAGGGAAAGAATAAAGATGTGCCACGCGACTCAATTTGAACCAAATAATCAAGGAACGTGTGTGTGTGCGTGTGTGTGTGTGTGTGTGAATGGGAACACAAATGTAAGCATGGCCCTTGACTACCTCGACGTTCCAGGCTTTTTTTCGGCTCTTGAACAGCAATTAAACTTTGGTTGCACCAAATCGTCAGTATCCATCTTGGGAGAATGACCTGCTTGCACTTTTACATTACCTTTCCTCTTCTTGTTGTATTTTTATCGTTTCAGTCGTTCCTTTACACCCGTTGTCATGGTTGGTGATGAATCCACTCAATTTGGACCGCCAAAATCATCCAGTCGGTTGACTTCGACTTCCCCTCTCAACCAAATGGTTGCCATGCATAACCCGATTCAGCTGGCCGCCATCTCAAACTACAAGCTGGCTCAACTCACATTTGCACCTCCAGATCTCGACACCATGAGAAGAACAGCTCTTGTCAAAAACATGTTGGATGCATTATACGAAGATACTCCCCCTGAGTGGCTCGATCAAATGACACGCTGGACGTTTTTTACACCTGAGTAAGTATTATTATCTCCTCCTCACATCATTTGATTATATAACAATGAGCTCACCTGATATTGCAGATCACTCGGAGACATGACGCAGGAACGCTTGGAAGAAATCTTTGCTCAATATGCACAGACCATTGAAGCTTTTCAACCTCTAAGTTTGGATGATGACGACGATGACGATCATTTCGATGAAACGGATACGTGGGTGGATGAAGAGGAATTCTTTAACAATGACGATGATGATGATGAAATCGAAGCGATCAGTGCAAGTTATCCTACACCTCCAGAACAATCCATCTTTTCGCAACCAGATGCCAATCTCTCTTCTGAACTCGTTGCATCCCCATCTTCACGATCTCCACCTCCACTTCCTCCTTCTACTTCATCATCATCACAACCAATAACACCATCTTCATCTCCATCACAACAACAACAACCACCTATATCTCTACCACCTTCACCACCTGTATCCTTGGTAGAGAAACCGTTACCCAAGAGTCCGATGGAGGATACTAGACGCAAATCACAACAACAACAACAACGCAAGAGCTTTACTCCTTCGATACGTAACAGCAAACATCGTCTAAGCTGGACAAGCGATACGGGTCTATTGCCATCAAGTTTTGCAGTGCATAACATGGCGAGCGAGATGATGACCCTCTTTGATATGGATTTTTCATTGGATCTCAAACCCAACACGGCACCCAAACTACCCGAGTTACCATTTATCAGTGAAAAGGACTTGAGACGACGATCACAACGTTATTCTACCGATTCATTGCTGGGTTTGATTCCCAAGTTTGAAGCATTCAGTATTGAAGAGGAACGTGCTTTCCCACCACCACCACTACAACAACAATCAACAGCACCAAAAAGACGTAGTCGACTTTCTCGTCAAATGACACTACCCCCTTCTTCATTGGATTCTTCTTTTGATTCCCACGGTAATAAGCGACCCACTGTCGCCAATCCACCAGCACGTTCTTCCTCTTTGAAATACAGAAATCAACGCAACAAGAAAAAGCATTCATCCGACGACTCTTCAAAATCAAATAGCATCAAGTCAAAGAGTTCAGAGTTCTTGGCTTCATTAGCACAAGCACTTGGCGGTAACAACAACAACAGCAATAACGCATCGCATCATCATCATCATCATCATCAACAAACACCCACTATTCATGAAGAGGATGAACCCAAGAGTAAATCCATGCTTCGATTGGCATCTTTGATGAAAGGAGGTGGTGGTGGTGGTGGAGCAGGTAATAGGAAACGGTCATCATCCAGTCCTTCTCTTCATATCAACGATGACATGTTGAATGTACCCAACAATGAGGAATCACTCCCAAGGAAATCGATCAGCTCGACTATTTCATCTTCATCCTCATGCTGGTCATCCACCTCGGAAATTCTTGTAGCACGCAAGACTTCTTTTCGACGAAAACCCTTGTTTACCGCTGATCAACAACGCAATCACCCTTATCACTTTTACGATGCCAACGACGACGACAACGATACCAATGCCAAACGACGCAGCTTTACTGCTATGCGACCCATGGTTGTGGAAGCCCAAGACTTACGTCGAGCACGTTCACTTGGCCATCATCGATACCCTGCAAGCGGAGCTGCTGCACGTAAAAAGAAACATCGATCCTCATTGTTGATGGAAAAAACCATGTCCAAACGTAAAAGCATGCAACAACAACAACAACAGAATGGCGATACAACAACCATTGATGGCAATAACCTAAAACGAAGCAAGTCAGCCTTTGTACGCATTGGACGTGGATTCAAGTCTCAACGACGACGACAACAACAAAAGCAATACCCTCGAACCAAAGAAGCCATTGCAGTAGCTGCTGCAGCTGAAGATGAACTACGTCGACAATCAGCCGTTGTTTTACTTGAAGACGACGTTGAGGAGCATACAATGGAGGAAGATAACACCAACAAGAAAACATTTGTCAAGAGAATGGCTACATTGGGTCGTCGTATGCGTCTACAACGAGCTTAACTACATAGTAGTACATTAAATCATCCATCATAATAAATTAAAGCAACATTCATTCGTTTCTCTCAAGCTCCTTCCTTTTATTATTAAATCCTAACATATAACTGAACCATAGGCATCACCAGGCATGTCGATGGCATAATGGGCTGGCACCACGTATAGCGATCCTGTACAATTCTTGTCTGTCCACAATCCACAATGTGTATTGCCAACATTTTGTGCGGTATGAGCTGGGAACTTGCTTGGATACTCGACGCAGCTATGATCAGAGCTCAAAAGACCCGATCGTGTTTTGCTGTCACCTGCATGAAGAATCATCCCGGCTTTGGGTTCTCCAAACGTTGCTTCCGATGGATGAAATGGTACAATGGCAAGTGCCAATATCGACAATAGTAATAGTAGCATGATTGTAAACAAAGACGAGAGAAAGAGATAGAGGAACAATGGCGAACGTGGGGGGAGGATGACCCTGGCATAAATTTTCATCATCATGGAAGGGGTAATAAACCCATCCTTGTATACACACAAACACATACCCTCAATAGAATACCCATGTTGGTTGACATGTAACAATATGATACTTTTTTTCATTTCCATACAAAATATACATTCATTTAAAGCTTTTTGCCTTGGGCCAGCCATGCTTGAAGCTTTTGGATTTGATCAAGAACGGCAGGCTTGCTAGTACCACCGGGAGCAGTGCGGTTATCAATGCTTGTCTCGTAGCTCCAAACATTGGCAACATCATCAGCAAAGGAGGGGTGCAATGTCTTGAGATCTTCAACAGTCAAGGTATCCAAAGAGGTACCACGATCCTCAGCCATCTTGACAGCAGCACCAGAAATGTGGTGAGTTTCACGGAAAGGAACACCCTTGCGGACGAGGTACTCGGCAAGATCGGTAGCCAACATGTCAGCACTAAGAGCGCCACGCATACGTTCAGGGAAGATCTATACATAACCCATACACATGTCAATTATTGCATCCTCATCATCATCATCCTCTAATAATTTACCTGCATAGTGCTCAACACGCCAGCGGTAATTTGAAGGGATCCAGAGAGTGTATCGGCAGCATCAAACATAGGCTCCTTATCCTCTTGAAGATCCTTGTTGTAGGTGCTAGGGATGCCCTTGTACGACATCATGAAACCAGACATCTACATTAAAGCACATAGATATTAGATTACTTGTTTCCTTTGTATCATCCTTGATCCCATATGAATAAACACTTACACCACCAAAGACACGGCCACTCTTGCCACGCAATAATTCCAAACTATCAGGGTTCTTCTTTTGGGGCATCAAGCTGGAACCAGTACTGTAAGCATCAGCAAGCTTGACGAAACCAAACTCGCTGGAAGAGTAAATGATGAGATCCTCAGCAATACGAGAAATGTGAACCATGGTCAAACTGGCCCAGAACAAGAATTCGGCGACGAAATCACGATCACTGACAGCATAGAGAGAGTTGTTGATGATACCACGGAAACCAAGTTCCTTGGCAAGGAATTCGCGATCAATGTTAAAAGCGTGGCCTGCAAGAGCACCAGAGCCAAGAGGAAGGACATTGAGACGCTCAATCAATTGTTCAAGACGTTCAGCATCAGCATGCCACAACCAAGCGTATGAGAGCAAAAAGTGAGACCAGCGAATAGGTTGAGCACGCTAACATAAACCATTTAGCCATCCATCACCTATATAAAACCTCGATGTATTGCTTGCTTACTTGTAAATGAGTATAACCAGGAAGCAAGGCATCGATTTCCTTTTCGGCACGAGCAACGGTAACAGCGATGAGTTCCTTAAGATGAGCCAAGAGAGCAGAAGCTTCATCACGCAACCACAAACGCATATCGGTAGCGACTTGATCATTACGGCTACGACCAGTGTGCAATTTGCCAGCAAGAGGACCAATGATTTCACCCAAACGACGCTCGTTGGCAGTGTGGATATCCTCGTCTCCAGCCTTGATTTCAAACTTGTTGGCTTGCCATTCATCCATGACTTGTTGTAAACCCTTCACCAAAGTGTCACGTTCTTCCTCAGTGATAATGTTGTTCTTGGCCAAAGCCTTGCTATAAGCCATGGAACCCACAAGGTCAGCAGCGTACATGCGCTTGTCAAAGTGAATGGAGGCGTTGAATGCGTCCATGAGAGGGTCAACAGCGCCAGTGAATCGGCCACCCCATAACTTTTTTGGTGCGTCGCTTGAGCTCATGTTGTGAATGAGGTAGAGAGAGTGAGAGAGTGAGAGAGAGAAGAGAGAGAGAGAAAGATAAAAAGCAAGCTCACTCACCCATTGGCCCCCCACACTTTTAGACGCGCTCCTCTTCCTCCCATCTGTCAAAAAATTATTTCAACGCCGCGACTAGAATGACTCATTTGTTGTTGTCCATGGTGCTTTCCTCCGCTCACATACGCCAAAACGTGTAACATCCGCTTGTACTTCCTATATGGCATCGTAGATAGTAATACGCATCATAACATTCGTTTTCTTACATGCCTTGAATTAAAGCATACGAGAATCAAAGTCATTTTATGCACTGAGTTTGTTGGCCAAGATGAGAAGGATCGTCATTGTCTGATGAAATGGATCGTGTAACGCTGCCCTTGCCACCATACAAAAAGCCGACTTGCAATGTTCCCGAATCTATGGTATGCCACTCATACAAGTAATGCTTTGTAGCGGGGACCTTCACATCATGTAATGTACAGCCCGAATCACCAAACAAGGTAGATTCGGTAAGTAGCTAATGATATAAGACATTAGGAGCTACACATTCACTAAACATGGTTCATGATACATGCACAAAAAATAAGCCAAACTCCTGTGTTGCTGCTACCTCAACCCATTCTTAATTCGTGTGCTACTCTATTGTTTTCATATTGGTTTCCAAGGCTATCGTGCCATCCTCTCTCTGTTATCATGCATAAGCAACCATACATGTTTCAAGGGCACTGTTGTCGACCTTTAATATGGCTGAAATTGTATTTGCATGCATTAACGATCATGAGCTTCAAGGTAAAACAACCGCGCAAAGCAGTTGTTTCAAGTCGATCATCATATGAGTGTTGTACTCTCCTTGCAGATCATTGCAAACATCAACATTTAAATGTTACAAATTTGCCCGCATTGCTGTTGTTGCTTTGATACAACGTTCATGTAATTGGTGATGTTACACCTTTTGATCGTTGATCCACCTCGTTAGCATTATTGCGTTGTATCCATCATCGAACCCCATAAAAGTCGTATCGTTTTCTATAGATGCATCATGTACAAGTACTGCCTTCGATCTAGAATTTTGTTGCAGCATCATCACTTCTCAAAGTAACATAGTCACCTAGTAGCTTCTTCCATACACAACAACAAATACGCATGCATCCAAGTAGATGCCCACAATAAAAACGTATCATCCATTCTATAAACATTGCTCGTTTGGTATAATTACATCTTAGCAACGCATCGTCCATGTTGACAACGTCCACGTGCCAAGATGTTTCCTGCGCTTTGGTGCTACACCACGCGCACACGCATTCTGTGTTACAGCAATCCACATCCGTGCGCAAAGGAGTGATCCTTCCTTAGATTGCATTTCATACAACATCCTCTTTTATGCGACCCGACTATTAGTAGAAAAACGATATCCACCGAGTTGTAACTGCAGGGTGTGGAAATAAAGGGGTGCATGCATCGTACTCGGTTATGCTATTTGGACGATCTTTTTATTGACGTTCGTTGCAAATCCAAAGTCAAGAAGGAGTTGGCAGATGAATAACGGCTTGCATATGATTTCGGAGGTGGGTACCTATATGCTGATCATTCTACCCGCACTATGTGTCATAGGATCATGGGTTCCTTTTCCTTTTACAAAAGATGTTGTTTATTCCTTCATGCATTTTACGCCAAGCAGCAAGTACCTTATGCTGCATAATAAAACACAAACAATTCGCGTGCTGAGAGTGTCACAGCACAACGACACGAACGCACCAAACAAATTGCTAAAGTGAAGATCCCCACCATGTCTTTTGTCGGCCACGAAAAAAGATATAAAAGATGGCACTATTAGACCAACTTGCCAGATCCATACAACACATTTACTACTAAACAACATGCGTTTCTCAATTGTCGCTCTCGCTCTTTCTTTGTGCCTTGCTGTCCACGTTCATGGTGCACCTTTCCTTGGTGGAACAACTGGTACCGCTCTTACTGGCATTAACGGTGGCCAACTTTATCCTGGACAATTTGACCCTGATGGCGAGCACGATGGCTTGTTTGGTGAAAACGAGTTCGAGGCTGACGAAAATGAAAATGAAATCGGCGACGGCGGCTTCCCTTTTGATGATGCTGCTTAGTGGCACCTTCTTCAATCGTATCATCGATCTTCAATTGTATTATTACTGAAGCGTTCACACAACCCACTTGCATTGTTTTCTATCTCAAGAAGTAGCCTGTTCTATACCTTGTATGGTGTGAATAAACGCCCTATCCAATCTATTCAACTCCTCAATAATGAACTTGTTGGCATTACCAATGCTACCTCCTCAACCTGATAACCCATTCTTACGCGCAATGATAAACCTTTGTGCTCAATCCACCATACCAGTCCTTATTAGCGAACATAGCATCCAAATCCAAGTATAACATGAACGAAGCAAGTTTAATCATACATTGAGCAATAATATCGTGGATAGGTTGATATAGATAGGTGGTTGTTGGGTTCTCCTACAATTCTTTTTTGCTTGAATCAACATGCTGGCGGGTTGGAAACCAAGGGATGAACCGATTGACATTCTTTCTGTACTCCAAGTACTCTGGATATTTTTCGCTAGAGATAAGCTAAAATGTGTATCAGTATTAAGCTATCCTTTTGAACCCATTTCCTTTACCATGATACACGTACCTCGGTCAACCATGTGCTTCCTTGGAAGAGCATGGTTAAGATAAAGGCGCCAGGAATGGTCCAATTGATCCACACATCCATTTGCATGAGGCTATCGTAGCCCACCTGTTGAATAATGGCTGCAACGGAAAACAAGTAAATGCACCACCAAAGAGAAATCTCTGCGAAAAAGTTGGGATGTCGGCTATATTGCCATAGACCACTGCTGCATAGGAATCCCTTTTTGTAATCGCCCGAAAGTCGTTTCTTATCATTGTCCACAAATTCAAGCAATGCATACTTTTTCGTTTGGAACATGAATTGTTGGTCATCGGCAATTCCTTCGATAAGCAGGAGCATAAGGAATAGGATGGTGGCAACCAAATCGATCTTGTTCAAGGTGAGGTCTTGCATATGGGTGTTGAGATAGAGTGGAGTGACCATGAGAAGCAGCAATGTGTCTTGGAAAGGACCAATAAAGATCATGTTGAAAATGGACATGCCAACTTGACCAAGAAACTCGTGGATGTAAACGAAGCGATAATCGCGACCCTGCCATTCATAGCCTCCCTTACTAAACAAAAGCATGGTTCAATCCCAATGACATCCTATGTCTCTTGCATGTAATTCTTACCGAGCAAAGTTGTATGTCAAACGCATGCCCCAAAGGGTGATGAGGATACTGGCAAGCAATAATCGTGGATGAATCGAGGAGCGGTTGAGGTAGTCGTGGATAGTGAAATGCCATGCATAGACGCCTGGCAAGATGGACCACGCCTTATCTATATGGATTATCAGTATCCCATACCATTTGCTCTTTTCAGAAGCACGTACCGACTTGGCTATAGTTTCTGGTGATTTCACCCATGGCACAGTGCAATACGGTGAGTGCAATCATGATCTCGGCGGCAACAACGAATGCATCGGTTGACTTGTAGTATTCGACAACGAGAGATGGGTCATTCACACACGCTTTGGCTGTCGCTACCAGATCTACATTGACGAAGGCATCGCGAAGGTAATTCAGGTTGGCAACGAGTGCAGGAATGACAGTGTCGGAAGCTGCCAGGGACATGGTACGAAGGAGACAATGAAATTGAAATTATCCAAAAGTAGGCGTCTTTATCATGCTGTAGTCCGATTGCCATCATTGCTTGCTTTATGCTTTACACTAGTCGGAAGGCTACTATATGTCTCTAGTGATTACATCCAAATGCCATATACAAATACGAATCTTAAGATTAGCATCATGTTCTCCAAATGTATCATCAACAACGTTCATTGTTCTTGAGTCTTCTCTTCCTGCACAAAAGTACTCTATGCTTCTATTCTTACAATCAACCATGGCTTCATTCATTCCCCAACGTTTCATTGCTCATTTTCACACATACCCCCATTCTTTTATACGCTACGGATAATGGCACAATGTTGCTATTACCTTGTGAGCAAGCTGTCATTCATATGAGAAGAAAAACGTGCATCAGCTAGTGACATTTAACTCTATGAAGGTTGTTCTTGAAAAGTCCACATGTTGTATTGATTGGAAATCCTAGTCGTTCTCTTGTCGCTGAAAGCAATCCTTGCGTTGGCTATGTAATGTAGCCGAGATTCATCACCATCTTCCTTTCCATATGTCTTTCCCACATCTTAACAGTAGTCTTATTATCCTTCACGCTGGTGATTATAGCAACTTTTATAATAAATCATATATTTTATTGCATCTACATCTATTGAGCGTCTAACAATCAATCACGTCAAATTGTAGAGGACCATTGTTTTTGTCTAGCGAAAAAGAAAAAGGGTATTAAAAAAAGAAAATGCAAAAGGGGTAGTCCCAGCCCGCAGTGGCGCTTACATGATAAATTCTCTCCAACGTGCCATCTTACAGCCGTACCAGTGCTCTGAGTTTTCCCTGCTGTATTGCTACCCTCGGGCGTTGCCCCAGTATTGAACAACCTCCGAATCCAAGCTTACGCCCAAACCCGAATGTTGACACCAGACTCTGCAAGACACTGTTTTCGACGAGACAACCATGCAACCGTTACTCCACCAGCGAACTGATTCATCCCTCCATAGACTGCCGCTTAGCTTACAGAAAGGTGCTACTCTTTCCAGTCATCAACTACAGGTTTTAATCCGCTTTTATAATGGTTTTAGCGACCCTCTTTGTCAACTTGTGGGTGTATAAAAATCCACTCCCAGCCAATCATATCGCTTGCTGGGCACTTGTCCTGCTACGCATTGTGCCTCACTTGCCAAGCTTGCTTTATTTCTTTCCTCTCTCATTCACTCTTTCCATTCTTGACACTTTTTATATACACACACACCTTCTCTTGTTTCACACATACACTTTGGGTTCTAAAATGTCGTGTGCCTGCGCCATCGGTCAAGCATTGCAACAGCATGGCGACACTATCACTATTACCAACGCCCAGAAGCAGACTATTGACAAGACCACTTTTGTCGTCTACACTGTTTGTTTTCAGGTATATATCTCTTTGAGCCTTTTTATTTAAAGACATGCATTTCATTGACTGCCATTGCGAATAGGAACAAGTAGTAAAGCGACGTTACAGTGACTTTGACTCATTTCGAACGGCCTTGACACGACTGTACCCTGACGTCTTGGTGCCACCGATACCAGAAAAGCACTCTCTTTGTATGTATCTTGTACATAGCGAAACAAACAAGTTTTACTTATGATGTCAAGTAGCTGAATATACCCAACAAGTGCATGGCAAGGATGACCAGCCCATGATTGATAAGCGTAAACGTATGTTGCAGCGGTTCCTGTTACGCTTGGCAAAGCATCCACGATTGTGTCATGAGCATCTCTTTCATCGATTCTTGGAGCATTCAGTATCTTGGGTAAGATCATTTTTTATATACAACGAATGACATGATGGGCTCATTGTTTATTCTCTAGTCCGAGGTGGAGCTTCCTCCTGCTTCGATTGACAAATTACCGAGCATGCACGATTTGAAAGAACCCAATTCTCGATTTGCTGACATGGAAACAGCTGCAGAAAAACATGCCGATTTAGCAAACACTCGAGTCGATCGATCACAACGCAAGGCCTTACGACGAATGAGAGGTAAAACAATGATCATCACTTTATGTATGTGTATATTCATCAAAGAAAAATGATAGACTTGTCATCGGATTATGCAGAGCTGGGAGCGGCATATCATATGCTGAGTCAAAATGAAGCGGATGGCCAAATAGCGGGGGCAATGGAGAGAATTAGTATGGCAGCCGATACCACTTGTGGAAAAACAAAACACATGGTACGTACAGCAAGGATGTTGATGATTCCCTGTATCTAGGATACTCACATGTTGACAACAGGTGCATGAACTAGAGGTCTCGTTTGCTGAACACATGCAAGAATATGCACAATACACTCTCATTGCCAAGCAAGTACTACGATACCGCCATGCAAAGCACGCCCAACTCGAGCTCATTGGTGTGTCACTCACAAACAAAAAGAGCATGTTGCACGATTTGCTGCAGACTGAAACAAAGGCGATGCAGATCGAGAATGCCATGAACAACAACAACGATACATCATCATCATCCCATTCGCCACCTTTATCATCTTCACCCCCTTTATCAGCCCATCGTCCAACATTGTCAGCACATCAACCACATGAACATGAAACGGATCCTAATTTTGATGATGATGATGATGACCATGATGATGATACCCGATCCGTGGAAGATGGATTTTCAGCTATTGAAGTCTCTCCTTCATCCCCATCGGATCCTTCCATGACCGAATATCCTTCCAGCCTTACAGCATCCGCTATTCGTGCATCAAGAGATCGTTATAGAAAATGGTCGTCACCGAGAAAGTTGTTCAATGCTGTAAGCTATACTCTCCAAGGCATGATTGATGTCGATCCTGAAGCTACACGAAGGAATCAAATCAACAAACTCAAAGAAAGCGTGGCACAAGTAAGCAATGGGCTCGTGTGTGTGTATGTGTGATGATGATGATAACTGATTTCATTTCCCCTTCCCCCCTTAGCTGGAAAAAGACCAAGTTCGAGTACGTCAGGAGCTCAAGGACATCTCTCAAACAATTGAACAAGAATTGGAAGTATTCCAAAGGCAACGAGCCAATGACTTGCGTACAATGATGATTGCTTTTGCAAAGATGCATCTACAGTTTTGTGAAGAGGTACATGTATAGTGATGCTTATGATGATGAATCCCTATTTCTAATCGTGACTTTATGTATAGAATGTTACTACTTGGCAAAAAGCACGAGAGCAAGTGGATGAGATTCAAACAGAAAGCTGTTAAATTAAGAGCCAAAGTGATTTTTGTATATATTTCTTCTGACAATGATAACGAGTAAAGTCTACTATTGTCCTTCCATCTTGACATGCTTGCTAGGATATGATGAGATCCCATCTTCGTTCCTTGATCGTCGTAGTCCAAGTCGTGAAATTTCAATGGTATAATCAACGTCGGGTTGTTGCTGTATCCGGTTCCAGAGCCATCGCACCAATAATGGAATGCTGTAGCCTGTTTGAATCACGCGTGTCATTTTGTCTTGATCAAAAATATCTGAATTCCAAGCGAGATGATGTACACGTTCATGCTCAGAGGTGGATGGAGGATAGAGTCGAATAATAGGGCGCGCAGGTGTACTCTTGGGGATCTCAATGGAGAGCGATAATAAAACAAGGTGCTTGGATTGTGGTGAAGGAGGTAATGAGATCGTGAGGTGGATTATACTGGGTGCATCAATGCTTGCAACTTCAACATGTAGCTTGTCATCTGATTTGCTCTCTAGAGTACCAAACAGTCAGAATAAGCTTTATAGCTCCTCATATCATGTAAATTTACCTTGTAATATCTCATCAAGGGAGAGCGTGTATTTCTTTTCTCGAGTGGACTTGATGGCTTTGTCATGGAATATGCTTTGAAATAGTGTGTTGAACATTTGTTGTTGTCGCAAATGCTAAAGATGCAAACCATGTAAGCACATCTTACTGCATACGGTATACACTCATAAGCTTACCAAGAGAATGGTATAGATTTGGCTGGGATGATTAAAAGTGATACGTCGAACGAGTTTTCCAGGTGTCAATGAAGATCCCATCCATCGATAAACTTGATCCGTTGAATTTTCAAACGTTGATGTCCATGTGGTGGTTGTATCCAGCGGCGCATCATCATTCTAATAACATCGTTTTAGACAACGATACTTGGAAGCTTGACAAGAACTTACCACCAGCATATTTTCGAGAGAAGAGGTGACAGCAGGTGGGTCTTGTGAAGTATGTACTGAAGCTAATATCATCGTATGAGTAGGTGTTACGATACCATCCTTATCCTATACACATACCATCGTCCGCAATGCCCGATGCAACCATCAACTTGCGTACAATAACATTGGCTGCAGGTACAGGTGGATCCAACTTTGCAACGAAGCGGATTGGCACGGGTTTGACATTTGGATAGCTCGACAACATTTTGACAAATCGCATAGGCTGCATGAATGCCGGCCAATTGGGTTCCAATACAACGTCCAGATGTTCTCTGATAACCCTCATCAGCTTCCCATACACACACGAGGCAACCTTTCCAATAGATCCAAATTACCCATTTTCTCCCTCTTTGACTGCGTCTTGAGATTCATCATATTCGAGAAGGTACTTGCTCCGCGTAGGTGGGATGAAGGAATTCAGCTTTTGAGAATCTTCAAAGGAGATGAGAAGCTTAGATGCATGCGAGAAGGATGGGTGATTCTTGCCTAATTCTTTCGTTAATATGATTCCTAAAGTCAAATGCATCTCCCGTGGTTACTTACTCTCAGTGATGTATCCATGCACTTCATTCCAATCGTTTCCAAGCACAAGTTCTTTGCACATCCAATACGAAATTGACAAGCCAGGATAATCGAAATGCTGATTTGGTATACCATGGCCTTCCATGAGGACGCTTGCCATATCATTCGATGCGACCAGCCTAGCCATAGGATGATTCATTAGATAAAGGGTGAGTGCCATAAGAGATAAAGGACTTACATTTCTTGATCAAAGATGGATTTCATGTCAGCCATCATGGCACGCATAATGAGAAAGAAATCGGTCGGCGCATACTTCACATTGAGCTGATCCAGGAGAGCCAAAGCACCCAAATTGCGTTTGAATCGATCATAGTCTTGTGATTGCAAATTCTCTGCGAGCATTTGATCCACCTAATTGACCCTTATAAGTTCTCCCATCTTTGCTTTATCCTCTCTTTTACTTACTCGATCATCTTGATCACTTTGAATAACCTCTGATACATAGGTGACTTTGCATTTCAAGATGGACCCTCCTTCGTCAATATCGATCTATGCCATGGTATTAGTATGTGTGCCTTCTGATCCCACTCCCTGCTTATCCAATAAATACATACATCGACTACAATGACGGTACCACCCAATGTAATAGTTGTAACAGGCTGACCCGCGTCATTCTTTTGAGTTGTATCAACAAACACCATCAACCTATTCTTCCACCCAATGCTTTAGTTGATGATGATGATGGTGATGGTGATGATGATGATAGGATCGTTGAACATACCCCAAAGACTGTGCAAGCTTCTCCAGTTTCCTCGTCTGCACTTTGGATTTGGACGTTTCTCGTTCATTCATAGCCTGTTCAACCGTTTCTTTGGTGCTTTCTAATATGTCCTTGACGCGCATCACGGTACTCTCGAGCTGAGCTTGTTCCTTGAGATGTGTCAAGTGCTTTCGAAAGGCTGGCTCGGCGCCTGCTCCCATTTTGACAACGTCGCCTAGCACCTCTGTCTCGAATTGAGAGCATATCGATCGGATAGCGTTAATGTGCTGCATGAACTCTTGTCGTGCGTGGTCGATATTGACAGGACCGAGTGCATGGATCTCTTTTTGATGGAAGTCGTTTGATTAGATCTACAAGTGGGAGTGGTGGAGTGGTGGTGGTGATATAAGGTGGATAAGGTACCTTCAGTAGCGGGTGTTGTTAGGATATGACATTGCTTTTCAAAATCGCGAAAGAGTTGTTGAATGCCGTAAACGGAAGAGCTGATTGAGTTCTTTGTCTCTTGAGTCGATTGCATTGTGACAAGAAAGAGAGAGAGGGGGAGCAAGTGGCGCGTTGTTGTAGAGAGAGGGGTGCCAAAGATTATACTCAGCCAATGGCCCGATGTTGGGTTGAATTGGGAGAATGCATAAACAATCACAGGCCACACACAATGTGGGATCATGTGCACAAGGGTAATTGCATGGTGCTATGAGAATGAAAAAGTGAATGACACACCACAGGAGTGGTTCATTATCACAAAACCCCCAATATCCATGACCTACTTACTACCTGCTCATCATAAACTTGCCCAATATCAAACACATTGCTTAGAGTGATTGGTTTTTTCCTACATCCACCAAACTCACTTTCCCTTTATAATGCAATCTCCTTTTCATTCCACATGTAATAATGCCCTTATCGTTGTTGATGATGTACTACGAAGGGGATTCAAAAAAGCTGGTAGCCACTGAGTGGTGAGAGAAACAATGCACAATGTCGTAGGCATTTTAGGTCATCACTCTCCCAATGTGTGTGTGTGTGTGTGTGTGTGTGTGCGTGAGTGTGTGTATGTGTGTATGTGTACACAGCATGAGCACGAGCAAAAATTCGCACCCCCCTATTCATTATGGGCTGGGTGGGTACGCCTCCCACATAAATCGCTTGCGCTCACCCACACAACCCACCTTTTCTCCTCTCTCTCACTCACTCTCTCTCTCACCCACTTTCACTCTCACAACCACACCCACACTTAGGCCAAGCCTTCACACTACATACATACTCACATCCAACGTCAAAAATTTGAAAGGTACAAGAAATCCATCCTATTCTTTTTATTACCTCCCTTTTTCACTCATCCTATTGCTATAGCCCTTATCCTCCACGCGTGATTATGGCCAAAGAAACACGATCTGGTGATGCCAAAGTGTCCAAGCGAGCTTCTGTTGATGGTGGCAAGAAGCGCAAGGATCCCAATGCTCCCAAACGAGGCCGTTCAGCCTACATGTTCTTCTCTCAAGAACAACGATCAACCATCAAAGAAGAAAATCCGGATGCTTCCTTTGGTACATACATAATGAGAACCCTTTTCTTCTCTTTTCTAACCCACACATAGGTGACATTGGCAGACTCTTGGGTCAAAAATGGAAGGGGTTGACTGACGAAGAAAAGAAGGTAGGAATCAAGAGGATGAACCAATACAACTAGCTATTCACACTTTCTCTGTAGCCATACAATGACAAGGCTGCCGCTGATAAGCAACGATACGAGGAAGAAAAGGCCATGATGGTAAGTACTCTAGCATCATACATTGCTATGATTTAACAATGATTGACGCATCCCTCCTCCCATAGAGCGGCTAATTCTCATCCCCATCTATCCTATCATGATCATTCACACATCCCGCTTGCTACTCTTAGCCCTCAACTACATTAGCTTCTCTCTATCAATATTCATCAAGCAAATGTTTATAATTCTAGCTTGAAACTCTCTCACTCATATGAATGGGTTGTTCATTATACGTTTTTCTTTAATGATGATTGTGAATGATGCTGATCTAATGGAATTGTCATGGTAGAGTACTATTATAAAAGGTCTATGAAGAAGAGGATGATAATGGTATCGTCGTCGTGCTGTTGTTGTTTCGTCGATGTGCGAAAAAGTGTTTGCCAACTTCATAACTTGAGATCATGATGGCACAAGAAGGAGCAACCCTAAATAATCGAGGCACAAGACCTATTCCTCTTGTCAATTCATGTTAAATTGCTTCATTCGCTCGACCTGCATACCTTTGAAAAATCCGGTATATCCTTCGGTATAGATAATTTGGCGCACCAGCACTGTGGCACGTGCATTATGGTCCGTGCTAACTTGTCTTTGTGTCTTGATAACGTCAAAGGGGTGTGTGACTAATGCAGCAAGCTACACAACAGCGTATTAGATCCAAATGCTTATACCCTTTCTCTGTGCCACACATACCATGCCAGAAGATGCCCCTGCAAGGAAAGCTGTTTGGAAATTGGCGAGACCATCCAATTGTGTTCCTTGGGTCAACCGCTTCCTTGCTCGATCATAAGCCATCCAATATACACCCGAAAAGGGCACATCTCTTAAAAGTGTTGGCACGATGCCTCGCCATAAAGTAGATGGTCCCTGTTGACGCACCATGTGCATAATGCCTCGCCAAATAGCTTGAAAGGAAATCCATTGTATATAAGATACATAGCTCTCAAATGATCCTTTCCATCAAACGTACCTGCAATCCCTTCCTTATCCGCAGCTTGGATACGTGTCTTGAATAGCTCGAGAGGAGAAACAATAGAAGCTGCAAATGCTGATAATCCCATTCTCCTTGTTATCAAACCAACCTATCATCGCTTTCCCCCCCCCCCCTTTGTAAAGAAAAATACCTCTTGCCGTAGCACCTGCCCAAAGTGGAGAATATTCATCGAGCGCTGTTCCACGAAAACGGGAATGCTTAATCTTGTCCCTGATATAATCGTATCCCGCATAATAGTTCACTGTAGCTGGTACTGAGATCAACAATCCTGCCGACAATCCTCGAAACAAGGCCGTTGTTCCTTCATGCCGTGCAATCTTATACAAGCCATCCTAGCAGTAGATGAGGTAAGTCTCACGACCACTACTACCACCACCACCATAAAGAGCCACTATCCATGTACATACCAAAGTCCCTTCCAAATGTCTCACACCGGATATCTCTTGCGTCTGTAGCCGTGTCTTGACGACGTCCAACGGGGTCACTAAGCAGAAACGAGATCCATGAGTCCAGGTGCCAGTTTGCAATGGGTGAACATTGACATACTCAAGAGCATGGTAAGGAGAGCACCACCACATGCGGATATTATTCGTTCGGTTGGTGTTGTTTGATACTCCTGCGTAATGGGCGACGATGCTTTCTCTCTTGGCAAGAGCGTCAGTTGTTGAGTGTGATTCATGACAAAAGGATAAAAGAGTGTAGCCACCACTACCAGCAGCTCCACTAGCAGCCTATATCGGCAGACTTAAAGGGGAATCACGGAAGCACTTGCCGTTTATATAATCAATCTGCCAACCCTTTCCCGCATGACTCACAATCCAAATGACAACATACATACATCATCATCATCATCATCATCACAAGCATAAAATAGGCGTTGCTAGGATCGCATACAATAGATAACTAGGTAGTCGTTGCAACAATACAATAAATGGTGCATAGCTGTTGTTGATTCAAGAAGAAAAATGGCGGGCTTCACACTACATTAGTAAGCTCACCAAATGAAGTATCTTATCTTCGGGAACGTGATCCGAAAGGGGATGTGTATCAGCGAGATATGCCTTATCCATTGTTGTCAGTCCCATCTCCCTCTTCCGCTGTTGATATAGCTAGTAGACATCGTGCTGTTATTAAACGTGCTATTCTTTCATTCAAGATCCCCCTGATCCATACCCTCCAAAGACTTCATTTGGCAAATGTTTTGGTATAACAACGACTAATTTGATTGTTCTTCTTCGTTTGGTCCTCGACACAAAGAGTCCTTAATGAAAGGGCTTGATGAACCAAACAACAAGTCAGGTATACTATGTATCCATCCTTGAAAGGTTTATCTTGCAGCAAGATTTCATTGGCTCATTGACAAGTGTGTAGATTTATTGTTAGCATGTCTACTACTACACCTACAAAGTAGCTAATACGGGTGATGTACTAGATCACGTTTGAAGGCATCTATGTACCAAAGAACTAAGGAAGATGACTACGATTTGGATCCACCACTCACCAAGAAAGCTTCAACTTTTAATCCATATCCACATGTGCGCCATATGGGTGAAACTCAGGGAATCAAATGTTAGCACCGCATCTCCCTTTCGGCACGCGTATTTGGTCGCGCGCGTGTGTGCGCTGGGAACACGATTCTTTTATTCCCTTGGACACTTATTCTCTTTTTCCCGTTTCACAAGTATGACTATTGCACCTCGTCTTGCTGTCAAGCGCCTTTCCGAAAACGCCAAACTACCCACTCGTGGATCAGCTATTGCTGCTGGCTACGATCTCTACAGGTTTGTCCCCTCCTCAATGACAGCATGACGTGCAGTACCCCATGTTGACATGGTTGATCTAGTGCTGCCAACACCGTGATCCCTGCTCAGGGCAAGGTTATTGTGCCAACGGATCTTTCTATTGCTGTCCCTGAAGGTTGCTATGGTCGTATTGCCCCACGTTCTGGTTTGGCATCGAAGCATTTCTTGGATACGGGTGCTGGTGTGATTGATGCTGATTACCGTGGTCCTGTTGGCGTGTTGTTGTTCAACTTTGCTACTACGGATTATGAAGGTAAGGTGAAGGAAAAGATGAAGTATGTCCTATGGATTGATATAGATAATGGTGTATGTCTTTAGTCAAGCAAGGTGATCGTATTGCTCAATTGATCCTTGAGCGTATCTATACTCCTGAAGTGGTGGAAGTAAATGTAAGGATGGCTTTTATTGATATGACTTTTACTGCAGGGACACTAATTGAATGTAATGTTGGGGGTTGGGTTCAATTTCCTAGGAGTTGGATGACACTGAGCGAGGAGCTGGTGGATTTGGATCAACCGGTCGTCAATAGATGTTGATGATGGTAGTGCTGTTATTAAAGTAACTGAACGTATTGTATATAAAGATATTCAACTTGAACGATGAGATTGCATGATTTGGGATAATATTCACACACACACACGTATATATATGTATACACTATTGCCTCTGGTGGTGGGCGTTTGGTATCCTCATCAAGGTGACGCTGTTTCAGGTTCCTCTTCCTTCTCTCTTCCACACCACCAAACTCCATCTTCAGCCCATTCTTGTTCTCCTTCTTTTTCATTGCGCGCATTGTAACCAACCAACGTGTTATCTACACTCATAGTTGAAACATTGCATTTCTCCCACACCCCTTTATTTGGCACACTATTATTCCAACCCACTTATACCCTCCAAAACGATTCCACCAGGCGCGCATTACACCATGACGGCGAACCACTCCCGTCATTCCCAAAATCGGTCCACAGCTTCTCTCTCCTCGACCGTCAATGTGGTTGGTGTGCACTTTAGAGTGGGTCGCAAGATTGGCGAGGGCAGCTTCGGAATTATCTATGAAGGTACTACAACTTTTACTCCCCACCCCATCCACCCCATCGCGTTGGAGTGAGAGAGTCCAGTTAGTGTGTGTGTGTGTGTGTGTGTGTGTGTGTATGTGTGTATCACCAGGATATCTCCACTCATGTCGTGAAACATGAATAGGCACCAACCTCTTGAACAATCAACAAGTTGCTATCAAATTCGAGCCTCGTAAATCAGACGCACCACAGTTGCGAGATGAATACAGAACATACAAGATTTTATCTGGGTTGAGTATGTGATGATGCATCCAAGGAGTCATCGTAGTACATTTTGATTGACACCTTTTTCTTAGCTGGTATTCCTGCAGCCTATTATTTTGGTCAAGAAGGACTTCACAACATCTTGGTGATTGACATGTTGGGCCCAAGTCTTGAAGATCTATTCGATATGTGCAGCCGTCGTTTCAGCATAAAAACAGTGGCTATGCTTGCCAAGCAGATGGTATGGATTCTAAGGAATACCGTATTTGGCTTCCGATACTGATCTGATCCCGTTCATGTAGATCTCACGCGTCCAAAGTGTACATGAACGTAATCTGATTTATCGAGACATCAAACCAGACAACTTTTTGATCGGTCGTCCTGGAACAAAACATGCCAACACTATTTACATGATCGACTTTGGTATGGCTAAGCAGTATCGTGATCCAAAAACCAAGCAACATATTCCCTATCGTGAGCGAAAAAGTTTATCGGGGACTGCACGTTACATGAGTATCAACACACATCTTGGTCGAGGTACGTAGGCACCATCATCATTACATCCAAATCTACTTTATTCTAATAACAAGGTGAATAGAACAATCACGACGAGATGATCTCGAGTCCCTGGGTCACGTGTTTATGTACTTTTTGCGAGGTGCCCTTCCATGGCAAGGCCTCAAAGCAGCTACAAACAAGCAAAAGTACGAGAAGATTGGCGAGAAAAAGCAAACGACAGCCATTAGGGATTTATGTGATGGATATCCAGGTACTTATCATCATGATCCAGTGGAGAATGAGTCATTAATGGGATCGATTGATCATTTAGAGGAGTTTGGTATTTATTTGCAATATGCACGAAAGCTTGGATTTGAAGAGACACCCGACTATGATTTCTTGCGCGATCTTTTCGACAAGGTCTTGGAAAAGGCAAATGAGACGGACGATGGTATATACGATTGGATGATGCTCAACAATGGCAAAGGATGGGAGGTAAGCGATATCTACATCTTTGTATCAACGTATTTTACATTGACCATTGTACTCTCTTATTTAGACAATGCAACGTCGATCATCAACGCAACGTGGACATGGTGCAGTTGCAGCGCTGAATGATGCCACAGCAGGAAGAGGGAATAGAAGACGTGATACGGGTCAACGACATTCGAGACAACGACTTAATCACCACGGTACCAATGCTTATCGATCCTCCCAACCCATGATGAGTAACCAACCTGTCACGTATCAAAACATTGATACCAGTGCCCTACACCATGGTGCTGCAGGGCAAGATGCCGAATCTCTTGGAAAAGGCGGCTTTTGGCGCAGCTTCTGTTCTATCGTCACTTGCAATATTTGCACATAATTTTTTTACAACCCCCATGATGCCACTTTTAACACCCCCGGATACCAATGAGCCTACTTGATAAAGTCTTTTTTCTTCTTCTTTTTCTTCGTTTTACCAATCCATTGTATTCCGATTCGTTTTCTTGTAGTCATTATTGCTTCATGGCATATTGATTAGAATACATCTTGGTCAGCAGCAGCAGCAGTAGTAGTAGTTTCAAATGCTCCTTTGTATCAGATCATCCATTCATTTCTCTTCATCCATGATATTAGACGAATGACTTTATAAAAAAAAAGCAGTGTATGACTCTAAGTAAGCTATAGTAAAAAGATCAACAAGGCATGTGATCCATCTGATGTCTTATGCAGCGAGCTGAATGAATCCACCACACACACCACTTCTTTCTCGACCCGACGACTTTGACACCTGAGCCATGGAACCTCCACCTCTCGAACACTACCAGCTTGCTCGCGATGACCGCTTTCGACCTTGGTGGGTATCCAACCGCCCAACTGTGATCTACAACTTTTATACCCATGTCACCAATGTCAAGGAGGCTTCACAAATCCTACGACGGCAATTCAGTGGCAACACATCCATGGCGATCCGAGGATTGACACCTGGTGCCTATAATGAAGAAGAGAAGGCATGGGTGGCATTGGAAGTGGCATTCACACCAGAAAAGTCGCGTCTATTGGCATTGAAACGAGGTGTCAGGCTTCCAGCTGATATGATTACTGCTAAACAGCATCCTGTTACTGTTGTACCTGCCATTCGATCCAACGCTGCTGGTTCATACATGATCATGCGTTTTCAAGGTCTTCCAATGACAACATCCGATGATGGCGACCTGCCCATGGCAACAGCATTCAAGATACGCCGATCAATCCGCACACTCTTTCGTAGCTGGAAACAAGATCAAGAAGATGGTGTCTCTCCGCCCTTGGTGCTTGATGCATTCCCTGAATTGTTGGGTGAAGACGAAGATGTCTATCAAGGCTCAGTTGTCGTATTGATTGAAGGAGATCATTATATACCACAAAAGGATATGGAACGAGGCACGGCATACATCGCTGCTTACGACACCTATTTCCCCTTTGAAGCATTAACATACCATTACGCCGCTTATTGTCGAGATTGTCGCACCATTGATAGCCACACAACTGATAATTGCAAGTTTTTCAATCCTTATTAAAAGGTTGTACATTGGGTCACACTTTTATTCGATATGCAATGGCGGTATTATGATGAAGGTGCCTTCTTGTTACTACAAACTTGATGAGGTATTGCTGGAACTTCTTATCTCCTCTAATAACGTAGCATCCAAGAACTTCTTTGATTGAAATGCTTTCCTTAAATCGACGTATCCTCCAATGTGTGTCTTGTCAATAAAGATGTTTGGCACCGTCTTTTGGCCAGTGAGATCGAAAAGTGCTTGTTGAATGTCTGCCCCATCTTGTCGTAAATCAATCTCAATTGGGTGGTATGGGATATTGGAATCATTGAGGAACTTTTTCGCTTTTTGACTGAAAGGGCACCATGTCTTGCTAAAAACCTTCAAGAATAACAAAATGAGTGCTTGCTTCATCGTTTGACTATGCACACACATACCACAACGCGGTTGTCAGCAATAGTGTTTTTGACGAGTTGAGTAACCCCTTGCTTTATGAAAGACATGATGTGCTGGAGTTGCGAGAGTAAGAGTAGACGAACTCATGATGGGGTTTATATACCAAAGGGATTGCACCTGTTGGGTGGTTGGATGGTGTCATTCGCACTGGCCAATCGTTGCATGATTGCTGACCAATCATTCCATTGTTCCAGAAGCGGATGATTAAGCTCAAGTCCAATGGTATGCATGGTCAGAGTCATTTGTTGATGAAAGGTGGCTATGGAACAAGTATTACTAATCGATTGCTGCTAAATGTGTATCCCCCATGCAGATGCAAAGATGGGCTTATTGGAGCATGAATGGGAGTATAATGATCATAGCCTTGTTTGATTAAATGCTTCTCGTCATCATTAGACGTCGTTATCGGTGTTGGCGGCATTATGTGTGGAAAGACAAAGGACCAGCACAGGGCAACAAGGGTGCATTGACGATCTACATTTGAGGACTTTGAAATTTGAGTCTGCTGCAGATGTCATAAAAGCGGGCGTATCATGGCAAAAGTGTTTACAAATGTCAATTCTGCTTTTGTGTTGTAACACCTTCTCCATGGAGACTGGTCTGCCCGTGCTACCGGTATTTATTTGCGCGTATGTGCTACCACCATTGACAACAGCACACCATATGACGAAGAGCCACATTACTGTACCAGTGAATGTGATACTGTATGAATGCACCTCAACGAGCCATCATGAGAAATAGTCACCCATTCACCTTATTTTGATGCTTGGTCTTATAAATCAAGCTGCAAGCATAATCCAACGAGATGTTCAAATGCGTTTTGTGGAGGCTGAATCTGAATTGCCCACCTTGAGTGGATGTTACACCGACGTCGTTTGCCAAACAACCCAAACTTCGGCACGAGGAAAATACATCTCTCTTTCCGCCTTTCCACTCCTTTACACTCTTCACCACCACATTTTACCCCAACCATAATACATGGATTTCAACAAGATCATCGACACTGTTGGATCGGCTGTCAATGCCAACAAGGAACAGCTCAAGCCGATTGTTGGTATTGCAGCAGCAACCAGCGTCGCACTCTATACAGCCTATGCTTTGCGTAAATCGAAATCTTCTGTTCCTAATGGCTTGAAGGAAGTGCCCACGGTACCTGAAGGCTCGGTCCCCTACTTTGGTGTGTATTATTTGGTACCCATCTCATCTGTAAATCCCTAACCCACAATATTGAATAGGACATTTGCTTGCCATGGGAGAGTTACCTGCTCTTAAAATAACCGAATGGCATAAGAAATATGGTAAGTAGTAGGACCCGGCAAAAGGGCAGTCTTTGTTAAACAGCGATCATTATTCTATAGGTCCGATCATTCGTGTTAATTTTGGTGTTCAGTCCTGGGTGATGATTAGCGATCCTTATATTGCCCATGAACTTTTCAGCACCAAAGGCAGTGTCACTTCAGGCCGCCCTTGGCAGTTGTACAGCCATCAATATTATGCACCAGGCCAACGGTAAGAGACAACGAGATTGTGGAAATTGCAACACACTAACCCACGTGCCATTTTGTGATCCAGAGGTGTGGCATTCCCTAATCCAGGCAAACGTTGGAAAAAGACAAGAACAGCTGGTATGTAAAATGATCGAGTATACGCCTACAATCCATTACTGACATCGTTTCTTTAAAGCTTTGGAAGTGCTTGCCCCTAAGAATGTTGAACGTTTAAGCGATGTCATGACCCAGGAAGCTGACTACATCGTCAAGTACTTGTTGAGTGCCTCGTTAGCCAATGGCAGCGTTGACTTGGTGAAGCCTCTTCAATTTTCATCCATGAATGTGATTATGCAAGCTAGCTTGGGTATGCGAGCTGAATCACCAAGAGACCCGCTTTTCCGTGATATGATTCATGTCATTGATCGTGGCATGAAATTCGCTGGTCCCGCTGAAGATATGAGCTCCTTCCTTCCAATTCTTTCGGTGATGGATGTTCTCTATCGCAAAAAGAGCCGGTTGAACAACTATATCGAAAAGGAACGTACCCCACTTTTGAAGCGACTTATCAAAGAATCCCTTGACAGCGGCAAAGAATGCTTGGCCAAATGGTTGTATGAATACAAAGACGACGAGGATATCGATGATTACACCATCTTGGTTACGTTGAGTAAGCCTTATCCATAATAGCTTATCTTGTGGATGATGTAGTATATACTCATGGATGATGTTGTGCAGATGACATTATTGGCGGTGGTGCTGATACAACCGCCGTGACGTTGGCTTGGTTCATGTCGATCCTTTGCCATCATCCCGATGTGCAAGAGCGACTTCGTGCTGAGATTGATGCCTTCATTTCGACACACAAGCGATACCCCACATTTTCCGAACGTGACAACTTCCCGTACCTCATCTCTGTACAAAAAGAATGTATCCGTTTCCGACCCACCACTCACTTTGGCGTCCTTCATCAAGCCACTGATGATGGTAAATGCTACATTTGGATGATAATACAAGAAGAGGGAGATGCTTAATTTTATCTTTTACTTAATGTCATGTAGTGGAGACTCGCGGCTACTACATTCCTAAGGGCACCGTGATGGCCAGCAATATGTATGCCATGCATCAAAACCCTGATGCTTTCTCTGATCCCGAAAAGTTTATCCCTGAGCGTTTCATGAATAATATCAAGACCATGTCGTCTTCTGCCAACTCTGGTATTGATAACCGTGATCAGTACAACTTTGGATGGGGAAGGTATGTGATGGTGTCAACATTCATCATAGATCTCTTGATACATTAACACTTCTTTATGACTACGTGTAGACGTATTTGCCCAGGCATTTATTTGGTATGTATCAAAGCGAGAAACTAAAGAAATGATGGTCCATTGCTCACACGATGCCTCTTTTAAATGATTAGGCCGAATCCGAAATGTTTTATGTGTTGACACGCTTGTTTGCCAAGGCTGTCATCAAGCCCAAATTGGATGACCAAGGCAAGCCTTTGTATCCCACACTCGAAGGTGCTCGAGACGCTGGTCTTGTCATGCAGCCTCCCATGTGTGATATTCGTCTCGTGGAAAGAACCGATGCCATCCCTATCTAAGTATATCTATCATGCATTGCCTCTCACGTAGAGTGTAATGGCTCCCAAGAATAAACCTTTTATGTGATCATGTAAACTATTTTATGACTTTGGTTGATACATGACATTGCAGCATCTTCAACCTACGACTCCAATCCTGGTATGAGCGTTAATCACTTTACTAGTGTATGTAGATTTATCATACGAAATCTAAATCACAAAAAAGTATCATGTATTACGAGAAGGGCTATTCAAAGCCTTTGTTCAAGACACAATGAATCAATCAGACCCTTTTCCTTCCTCTCTTTTTCCTTTATCTTGCACGTGGATAAACTCTTACAATCCTGCATTTGCCATACCATAAATCCTTCTACAATACAATGCATCAAAGTGCCCACATGTCGAGGTCCAAGCCAGGAAGAATGAAGGTCATAGAAATGGTTGAACAACGCAATGTCGTATACGTTCAAGTAATCTTTTAATCCAACATCAACATTCACAAGGGATAGATTGAAAGGTACAGCAAATTGCTCAATGGGAGAGATACATCGACTTGGGACGTTTCTATCCTTGGGGCGTACGTTGTCTAAAGGTGGATGGATGGTCGTGAGGTGGTGAATTGTTTGCACATTGTCTCAAAACATGGAGGTGGATGATGATTGTTGTCCATAGTTCACAGGTTGCACAAAGGATGATGATAATAGCTGCCATTGAATAGCGTAAAGTTCGACCATTGGATGCAAGTTGACAATGAATACATAAGAACAAAGCTCTTTTTCCATGCATTGTACATACCCGAATCCTTCCATTCCATGTACCCTTATCCATATCCATAAGAAGTCGTATGTATTGAAAGCAAGTTGCTACACGTAAATAAAGCTGCGTCTATACAATGGCTATCTGCTATCCTCGTAACGAAAGCTGTAACGCAAGTTGCTGCAAGTAAAGAACGCTGTTTGCGACAATGAAGACCTCACTAATGGCAACTGCTGGAATGAACGTAGTTGCGATTGGTTGTGGCAGAGGAGCGTGCAGTATCAAGAAAGGCAAACGTTGTAGTAGAGCGACAAGGCTGTGTACACGGCATGGACTTGCCATTCAGTCAAAGACAATCGAATCAAGGCAAGTGTAGGATTGACATGGTGGGTTGAAGCAGGACAATCGTTCGCAGATGGTGGTTGTACTTGAATGGGGCGAACAGTTGAGAATGGGAGGAAGAGACAAGAAGTTGTGGGAGTGGAAGGAGTGGAAATTAAATAGGCGGGACACCTCTTGTATAAATGTATGAACACTGTACATCAAACCTTGATATTGAGATCCCCCCCTCTCGAACCTGAAGTTTTCACACAAGGTGCTCTGGGACATGCTGATCAACGCTATTCATTTAAAAACCACAGGCTTCATTGTGAAGATTTAAAATGCGGGGCGGCCTAAATGTAGGAGAGGCGATGAACTGCGGGAGCGTAAGAGTGGACGGCCCACCGCCCCGAAGTTGCCGGCTTCCAACTTGAAAATTGGTCAGAAGGGTGCTCCGAGCATGTTGATCAACTATTTTCTAATAAAAACCTCACGCCTCATTTGAAAATTTGGAATGGGAGCGTCCAAAAGTTTGAAAGACGGAGACATTCGCAGGGTCTGCGATTCATTAATTTTTATGTTTGCTCTTCCAGCGTAGCTCAGTCAAATCCGCTTGGATCAAGAAACTTGGATGATGGAAATACTCGGCTGGAGCAGGAGAATCGTTCACATGCATTGGTTTGGGCAACAATGGTGAATGGGAGGAATGGGCTATTAGCTCGCCATATATGGACTACTGTGGATAGCCATAAAGTATAATCCATCAATCCTTCCAGTCATGCAAAGTAGCTGTGTTACACGAACACGTCCCTCTGCATCTTTTGCTCTGCCAGGGTCCACCTACTTGACAATGAACAAAGACCACTCTTCATATAGCATCACGCTTACAAACATAAAGGTGCCTGTATCTCCAAACTTTACAATGAAACGTGGGGGTTTTATTAGAGCAATGGGCTCGGCTTGGCCAACAGCACCTTGTGTGCCAGTTTCACGATCAAGCTTGCCAATCCCAGATTTCGCAATGTCGCCACCAGCCAAACTGGATC